AATCAGATGTCATATAGCTTTCCCACGCTGTGAGCAGGTGTACGACACTACGAAGATGAGACCCTGAACGTCTGGCGGACATGCTGGAACGTATGTGGTCGCATCGCAACTCTATTGTTCCCTTTGGTCGTTAATCAGCTTTATCACTTGCTCTGTCTGAAGCGCGAGGTAGGATGCTGCTTCTAGGCGATCTGGCAGCCCTTGAGCCCTCGGCTCGTATTGGGCGGTTTGCAGGTACGGGGTACGCACCTCCACGACCATGTAACACACACGAACACACAATGGGGAGAGTGCTGCGGCTTCGGTCGTTCCAGTTGGGGTACGGTTAGGCGCCCCTGGCCAGTGTCAGGCCCGGATCAATACGTAACAAATACACACACACATACGCATACGTAGACACATATACATACATATAAATACACAGGGTAACACGCAGCTTTTCCGAAAAGCATCAGGGCAAGCACTGCCCCGCCGTGTCTCACTGCCCAGCGTATCCGTCCAAGATATAGTCAGATGCTCCCTCTCCGCATTCCTTCACGTGCTCGCCCTGCATCTCTGATGCCGCATGGCGACTGGCAAAACCCTGGAAGGCTAGACAGCAGGCATGACACCCTGGATGACCACACTGCGCTGCCGCCGTATAGCAAAGTTAATGGATGGGAAACCAGGGAGGAGTCGAGTATTGGAAAGTAGCCGCAACCCGGGTGGTGAATAGCACCGAACCTTGGTGCGTTGCCAAGCTTGGCGCCCTCGACAAGGAGCAGCACTCCACTCCCGTGGCCCGCCAATGCCCCGACTGCACCAGACGGGCCACCACCACCACCACCAACAGGCCTGATCGACTCCCCCCCAGATTTATTATGGGCTCATGGAACTCCAGGAGGGCTGGACCTGAGAATGAGCAGTCCGTAGCAGTCCGCAGCCCCACCGCACGCAAGTAGAAAGAGGGCTTCCCCTTTAGTTCCCCAAAGGGGAAGAACTAAAGGGGAAGCCCTCTGGTTGCCATGACCCTGAGTTCTCTTGGCACTGGCCCGAAAACCCTAATTCCAGTCGGTTCACTCAGTAATGTATGCGTGTAGGTTAGCCGCTCCCCTGCGCCCCGGCGCCAATGCCTTGCGCCGCTTTCTGCAGCACCGCTGCCGCCGCAGCCACGTCGACGCCATCAACGTACGGCACGTCCAGGTGTGCGCTGACTCCCCGTCCCGCCAGCCATCGCCTGCACTCCGAGTCGCATTCCGACGCGCCGCCCGGACGCAACCGTGTCGACGCCGGTGTCGCTACCGTACTGTTACCGCCGCCGTCGGATCCCAGTCCTGCCGTCAGCGTCGCGGACATCTTACCGTCCTGCTCTGCCGTATACCACCGGGCGAGGAGCGCATCCGCATCCGCGCCAAAAACGTCCTGCGGCAGGTTTCGGCGCGAAGACAAAAGTGAGCTTCCCTCCCTAACAATAACCCGCGTACCTCATGCAGAGAGGACGACAAACTGTGTAATGTGGCACAATGATGCACTCCGCGCATGGTTCGACACAACGGAAGTCTTGGCGCTGATTGGATGCCGTACATCCGTACAGTGGGTCCGTACGCACACGTAGGCCCAGGGGGGGAAGTCAACACGAGCAGGCCCCCACGTTGCGTCCCCAACCCCTATCTGCCGCCTGCCTGCCTAATGCTCCCACCGGCCTTTCCCGCCCGCACCCCGTCCGCACACGACCCCTCCCTCCGGACCCAAGTGCAGCACCGCCGCATCTACATCCCCCTCCACACTAATGCCCCCTGTCCCGCTTCAAGCTCCTTTCTTTCCTCTGAAAAATTAAACCTGATCCCGCTCCTTCCCTGCCCTTTCCCGCCCTCCCCAAAATGGACCCGACCCCAGGTGCCGCAGCTCAGATGCCCATTCACATTGCCCTCATCCATCCGGAGGGGAGCCCCGCTCCTTCAGGAGCCCCCCTGCCCCCCCGATATCCCTGTCTACCCATATTTTTATGTGCTAGTCAACCCCAAGCCCGATTCAAGGCCCACCTGCCGCAGCAGCGGATTGCCGAACAGCATGTGGCGGTCGCTGAACACGTCGCGCGTAAGGCCCTCCGCCAAGCCGGTCGCAGGGTGCGTGAAGCTGAAGCCGACGCGCCACAGGCAGCGGGCAAGGGTGCGCTCCCCGCTGCTGGGCTGCTGGCCGCGCACACAACCCGCCCAATCGTCCTGTCGGGTTTTCGGGGTTAAGGAGTCTGTTAGGCATTCCACTGTGGTCAAGGTATTTTTTTAGGGTTTTTAGGTGTACGGCACGCCAAGCTTAAGAGTAAGTTTGTCAACGGGATGAGAAGTACCCGCCTTGCCCTTCTTGGATTAGGAGTATATGTTGAAATGGACATCTTTCATAAACGTAAAAAATTAATCCGGAGTGATACGGGGGGGACTCGGACGGGACTGTGGGGAGCTGCGCAAAGGTGTTGTGTGCCCGCGCGCGCACACACACACAAAAACACACAATAAAACACTTAACACACACACAAACACACATTAAAACATTTAACACACACACATTAAAACATTTAACACACACACAAACACACATTAAAACATTTAACACACACAAACACACATCAAAACATTTAACACACACACAAACACACATTAAAACATTTAACACACACACACAAACACACATTAAAACATTTAACACACACACAAACACACATTAAAACATTTAACACACACACAAACACACATTAAAACATTTAACACACACACACATCCGCGCTGACCTGGCAGCGCCAAAATGAACACTTTACATGTGTGTGTGTCCATTTCGTGCACACACATACATACATACACACAAGCACAGAAAGAAGGCACATAACCGTGCCGCGTGTCCCGAGCTTGGATATAGCGCCTTGTCGAGGCCGACGACAACCAAACGAGTCGTCATCACCTCGAAACGTGAGGGCCGTCGGGAGCAGCCCCAGCCAACCCATACCGCCCTTTTGGCCCTCGGTCCCGCGCTCACACAAGCACACACAACAGTGCCAGATCCCTAACGCCGGGAAACAATTGCTTAAACTGCACGACGCATACGATATGTACGGCAGATCTGGTGGAATCTGGAATGTATATGTAGCAGTAACAGTTAGCTCACCGAGTCCAGGTAGCTGAGCAGCGTGACGCTCAGCGCCGCACCCGCGCCGCCAGCCGCCCAGGAATGCGCACAGCGGTCCCCTGACCCCAGGAAGCGCTTGCTGCCGCACAGCGGCCCGCCTACCAGTCCCTCGCACACGTCGAAGCGGAACTCGCAACCCCCCGCGGGTCGACAAACAGGACAGGCGGGCTGGGGCACGCCCGGTGGGTGTCGGCGATTGAGCATCACCGTCAGATCCAGCCCGCAAGGCAGACACACAGCCGCGGCGGCGGAGGGCGCCAGCAGCTCGCGGCCATTGAAATCGACGAAATGGTCGCTAATGGCCACGGCGACGCTGGAATCGTACTGGGAGAGGAGCCGTACGGCATGGTGCGGCCGCCACAACGTGTCGTCGCGAGCGACGAGCATCCATCGGTACGGTGGCGGTGGCGGCGGCGGGCTAGGCGGTGGTGGCGGTGGCACCACAACTCCCACGGCTATTAGTCCCGCTCCGGGCCCCGCGGATGAAACCCTCGGTGACGCAGGGACTGTCGCCATTAAGGCGGCATGGACGAGCATGGGCGCCATGGCCCAGGTGGGCCCTATGAGGTGCAGTGGGTGGGTCGCTGGCGGCGGTAGACGGCCGTACGGCCCGCCCTTGCCACTGGCCCTGGTATGAGAGGCTCCATCGGACCAGGCGAGGTAGGTCTCGTTGAACTCGCTCTGCGCACCGCCGTGCAGCTTATTGAGGCGGGCGGCTTCGTTCGCGTCCTGCAGGATTATGTACGTACGAATACCGCGCCTGCGACAGGAGGTGGGTGTGGAGGTGGGTGTGGAGGTGGGTGTGGAGGTGGGTGTGGAGGTGGGTGTGGAGGTGGGTGTGGAGGTGGGTGTGGAGGTGGGTGTGGAGGTGGGTGTGGAGGTGGGTGTGGAGGTGGGTGTGGAGGTGGAGGTGGTGGAGGTGGAGGTGGTGGAGGTGGAGGTGCAGAGCGCAGTCCAGGAGTGCGTGGTAGTTTGACCCAGAGAACAGGCCCCTCCCCTCCCCATTACTGTTAAGGTTTTGCTACTGTGGGGATATGGGCGCGAGGAGAGGAAGACAGATCCCAGAATATTTTTGTTCGGTTAACTACCGTTAACGCCAGGATGGTTATTTCGGTTTTCAGTTGGGTCCGAATGTGAAAACCCCGCCAAGGTGTGGCAGCGTGGGGGGTTTGGGGCAGCGCGTTGGTTCCCATGGGGATGTTGCGGTATGCCAGACGGTATGCCAGCCTGGTGCTGGCGACAAGTCAAGTGCACGCGGTGTGAGGGTTAGGGGCAACGACCCGTCGCCGTGCGACCGAGTGCAGAAGTTACGTGTGCCGGTATCCGCGGTGTAGGCGATAGACACAAAACGGGTATTTGCCATTTGTGATGCCTTGGGGTTTCCAGAGCTGGCGTGTGCAGTACGGGGGATGCTGAAAGCACCATGACGGAAGCAGGGGGCGGGTGCGGTAGGAACTATCACTGAGGAATATCACCTTGCAGGCCGTGTGGCATGAACCAGCGGTAGCCGGGTTGTCGTGGTGGTGTATACGATGACCAGGTCTGAAAGGCTTAACGGTGCCGCATCAGTTAAGTTACTGGATGTCTGAAGAAACCCATGTCCGGCATCTTGCGTGGTAGCAGCAGCAGCGTCCAGGGCGCAAAGTCCCAACAGAAGGTATAATAGGACATTAATCATGGCAGCGCTTTGTTTCTGGGGCAAAGCCTTACAGGTCTTCGTTCAGTGGTCGTCATTGATGTCCCCCGAGTAACTGCAAGCTTACTCACTACCAAGTGCCCCACCTCAATCAAACTAACTAGATATAAATGCACATCAAAAATTACATTGCGATCAGATGAAGCATTGAATGATCCGGCCGCTTGCGCTACTGCACAGTGCTTCGTACTCGCTGAGAAGCCGGACAACCCGCGCTCATCCTCAGCAATACTACATTTGCCAATGTGTGTCAAAATATTCTTTTACGAAATGCTTGCTAGGATTATATGATCCATCGCACACATTCCCCAGGGTTGAGGGTGCTTCAGGTAAGCCCGCGCTTGGGAAACGAGCATCATTCCTCATCATACCCATAGCTTCTCAAAACTGTTGTGATCAGGGTGTGATGGAAAATACGGAAGTGGGTTGTCGTGGGGTGCTGTGCATGTGCCATTACGATGTAACTTAACAAGGTCTTCAACGGGCGCGCACAAACCGGCGCATTCAGTTTGCCACACCGCCAGAGCTGATTTATGGCACACTCGCGAGCACAAGCGCATGTCCTCAAAGAACACAACATCTTGCGCCAGCATCCAAGCTCCCACACTCGTATCTGAATAGCAGCATGGGCAAATCAACATTTATCGGAACCACCACGCATTACCCGGTGATCATTAGCTCAGCAGGCCATATCTGAAATGCGCAGCGTGATGCGTGGATGCCACCCGAGGAAGTGATGCATGTGTGGTGCCAAAGCAACAACAACGGTACTAACTGCTTACGCCCCAAACCCCATCAACTATCCAGCCAGAGGTAGAGCTGTACAGTTACCCCGGACTGCCCCTAACTGCTTTGTAAAACACACACCCTCACCTTCATTTGCCAGGAGACGCAGGTGTTGGTAGTTGTGGATAATGACCTGCCGCACGGCCTCAGCTGACAGCACGTAGGCGCTGGCAGGGGTGAACCATTGAGAGATGGAGGGTGAACACGAACCGCACACGAGTGATGGGGGCCGGGGCGAGAAGGGGGGTGGGGAAAAGGGCGGGTTTTCATCGGCACGCAGCGGGACATGCAGCTGGTTTTGGTGGGAGATTACAAAAGGCTACACGAGGCTGCGCGGAGTGCTGATATTGGGAGATAGTGGGGGATGCTGGAGCTGGTGGAGCGTGAGGATGCATCGAGTGCATCAACACATCTCCCGGGACCAGAGGATTGCCGGGCTGACTGGGACTTTTCACTTAAGAGCCCCCAAATAACATCACAACCCACCGTCTAAACCACGAAACCAACACATTCAGTCAACACAATTGAATCATCCAAGCTCCCACGCGACACTCAGTACTTATGGGGGCACTGGAGCGCGAGAAGCAAAAGGAGGCGCTTCATCCATGCCCCAGTAAGACGTCTCTATTTGTCGTACGCACCTGCCGTACGCGTGCAAAAAGTAGTCAGACCCCAGCAGCAGGTACTGCGGCTCATACCAGCGATGCTTTGGGTCTCGGAACACCCAGCCGTTCTTCATGCAGCCGATGTAGCCTGATGAGGCAATGTCGTCGGGTCCATGGAACCAAACCAGGACGGGCATTGCCCGCATGCTGTCTGGCTGCACACCTGCCGCTTGAGCAGCACCCCCTCACAATATCCCTAGGCGGTACAAGTACCCACCACACAATATCCCTAGGCGGTAGGGCGGTTTCGATTGTTGTGTAATGGATGGAACCGGTCCCCAGGTCACCCAGCCCACCATTCGGGCTCTGGGAGCTAGCAGGTTGCTTTCGCCTTCCTCCTAGATCAAATCTTGAATTCTTCCCCTTCCTTCTGTTGAAGGAACGGTCCGATCCCAGCATAGGAAACCTTTGATAGGTGTTCTATATTTATGTTGGGATCGGACCGTTCCTTGAATACCTTCGTTAAGCCCGTCTCGCTTCTCTCCCACCTTCAGGACACAGCAGACCGCTCACCAGGCTACGTGTTCACTTTTCAGTTTCGGGCAGATTCTATCTCTGCTGGGACAAGGGCTGTGATGCGGTGCCCCTCTTGCTCGTATCCGACCTGCCAGCAACAGAGGGGAAACTACTTCGCTGGAGAGAAGCTGAAGCTTCTTAGCTCCCTTTGCTTCCACTGCTTGTTTGGCAGTGGGTTTGGGGCTGCCGGTGCCGTGTCCTAGGCGACCCTTATCCCCCCCCGCTGCCTCACCCGCTCCAATGCGCTCCCACTGGGCCGCCGCGGCGGGTAGGCGCTGGGGCATCAGGTACACGTCGTCATCTGCAACAGAGCAACGTGGGAGGGTCACACGTCGCAAACATTGCCAGCGCTTAGGGATATATCTCCCCGCCAGGTCCTCATATATCGTAAGGCACAATGCTTTGTAATTGGATCCCTGCAAGTGTGGTGAACAGAGCAACGCGCGCGCAGGATGTAATAGCGTATGTCGCCGCATGTACCCCCGTGTGGCGATACATCACCGAGAGGGGGTTAGGGGGGGGTGCGTGTGCTCCCAACCCTCTAGTGTCAAGAAGTGGTGGTGGTGCCCGAGGGGGCGAGTTGAGCTTATTACATCGTACCCGCCTGCACAGCTGCGTAGATCCCCTCGCGCGTTTTATTATAAGTGATGGTGTGATCGGCATGGTGGTAAATCCATTCGCTGTAGAGTATTTTCTTGCAGGTGATGTTTTCCTTCTTCACGTAGGTATATACCAGTCCACAAATACCCACCTGCCTTAACTATCCAGCGCACTGCGGGATAGCTCCTCAGCACTGTGGTAAAGAACAGGCGTGTCTTGTCCGACAGGCAACCGTAGCATTCCTGCGCGGCGGGAGGAGAGTGTACAAGCTTGGTGTCGGCACCGCCGCGGCATCCTTAGCTTGCAGCTGGTACCGCCCTGCAGTGCGTTCTTTTCTTCGCTGGTGGCCCCATAAGCTATAGCTCGCCGCGCAGACTAAGAGACAACACGCGTTCATGCGAACTTCCGGTTCAGGGTGTTACCAATTAATATTTAGGAGCTTGATGCTATTCAAATCCCGGTTGGGACGTGTGCATATACGTGCACACTAGCATAATGAAGGTCAGGCACTACTGGTAAAGCCCACACTGATGCCCTCGGAAGTTTCGGGATCGAGACATCGAGACAATCGAGACCTGGTATATAAAGTTGAACTGCCAGCCGACCAGGAATGGCGTTGAGCCACCGTACATCCGGCAGATTCCGTTGGATGCCGGTGGTGGGTGCGAAACCAGAGCTTTCCCTGAGAAGTTGGCTTGGGTGGCTGATAAGGGTGCAACGAAATACCGGGGAAGGCAGGGTTTGCCGGGTAGCGGCCGCAGGGTGAAGCTATGACCCCCCGGTCCCACACATCACCACCTAAGCCACCTAAGCCCCAACACATGTATCGGACCCACGGAGAGAGCCCATCCCCATCTCCCCCATCTTAGGGAATTTAGCCGGTAGGTCGACCTCCCCCCCCCACACCTTCAAACCCGGCAGCCGCAAGAAGTCGCCGTACACCTCCGCCTCCTGGGACAGAGCCGCCTCCGCTGCGGAGTCGTCCGTCGCCTCGCCCGCCACAAACCGCACCATCACCGTTCCGCCTCCGGCACCACCACCACCACCACCACCACCACCACCGCCTCCACCTCCATCACCGCCGCCGCCACCACGCAGATGACTGCCGAAATACGTGGATCGAAGGGCGGCGCGGCGGAGGGTGTAGTCGTACCGCCGGTCCTCAGCGGGCTGGCCACCCGGATTGTGGGAGGTCTGTGGTCAGCGGGTCGGGGGGGGCCAGTGCGGTCCTTTTGGCCTCGCGACCTTACCATCCTCGCCCACGCAGGACCCTGCGCCAGACGTGGTTAGAGGCTCCTCCGATGGGCGATTGCAGGTGCGGGTGCAAAACATACATACAATGGCAGGCGGCTGGCAGAGGTTAAGGCCTGACTTCTGCTCCCAGTCGACCCAGTCGACCCGGGTTCAAATCCGCCTGCCGGCTCCTCGGGTGTTTGAGGAGTGATGAAATGGGTGCGCCGTTGATCCGCTAGATTTGGTTGGATGCTGGTGGTGAGTTGCCGAACCCAACGAATACATTCTGAAGTCGGATGGGGTGACGGATTAGGGTGCCCCTCTAGCAGGGGAGAGCAGGGACTGCCCCGGGAAAGGGGGCCGCTGGCGAAGTTAACCACCCTGTAACAACATACATACATACAAACCACTAGAGGAGACGCACTGCAGCGGACTTAATACCCCCCCCCTCGATCCCTCGTCCCCGCTACCGCCACTGCCACGTCCCTCGCCCCGTCTAGAGCGCTTACAAAGATCCCAACGAAGATCAGCGGCCCGGTAACCTGCAGCCCACTGCTTCGACCGCCACCATCGCCGCCGCCACCATCGCCGTCCCGGGCATCCGGCGGCTTCTGCGGGTGGTGAAGCTGGTGCTGATGCTCCTGAGGCGGCGGCTGGACGCCGTTTCGTAGGAGCCCTGTGGCTGACGCGTCTGCGGCCCTCGACCCGGCGGCATCAGCTGCTGCTGCTGCTGTTGCGATCTGTTCTGGGCCTCCCGTCGACGGCTGCGCCGACGCCGAAGGCACCTGTCCGGACTCGGTTGCAGGCGGTCTCGTAGCCGTGGGCGGCAGCAACGTCGGCGGATGGGCTGCGGGCTTAGGGTTGCTGTCGCCGCCGCCACCGGTGACGCCGTCGGCGCCGCGAATAACACCGTAACCGCCGCCGCCGCCGCCGTGGCCGAGGTCTTCCTGAACAGCCCGAGCTGCTTGGGTGCACAGTCGCCGAATGGCATCCGCCATGCCGCCAGGCAGCGTGGCTGCAGCCATCGCTGCCGTCGACGCCTCCGGCGCAACAACAGCGGAGGCTGCCGTACCGGGACCGCCGCTGGCCAACGCGGCGACGGTGGCGGACTGGCAGAATGTGCGAAGGATCAAGCGCGGCGGCAGTTGCATCATCATAGGCGGAAGCTCTGTCAACACCGGCTCTGCTGGCGCTCCCGCGGCTTTCGCCGGTACGGCATCGCTTCCGCCAACGGAGGTGGACTGTGCCATTCCACGATGACCGCTAGCAGCAGCAATAGTCGTAGTAGCGACAGCGGTGCCCTTCACCTGCAGACCCTGAGGTTTCCATTGCCGCAGCAGCAGCTGCTGCTCCTGCTGCAGAAGAAGAAGGCATTGCTGACCCCGGCAAGACTGTAGCCGTGCTCCCATCTGCTGCTCTTGTGCTAGAGACGGCCGCGCCTGCGCCTGCGCCTGCTGCTGCCACAGCGCCGCCATGACCGCCGCCGTCACTTCAGCCCGAAGCTCCTCTAACTCTGAGGTGCGCCGCCACAGCAGTGCCTGCAGCAGCGCCACAGCCAGCAAGCTAGCCACCACAAGCGGCCACAACCGCCGGGGAGAGGCCCGAATGGCACCTGAGGGGTGCGAGCCCACGCCGCCCCCGCTGCTGCTGCTGCTGCTATTGCAACCGCCGGAAATATTAACGGCGCTAGATGGCGAGTGTGTGTGGTGGAGGTGCTGATGGACGCCGCTGCTGCTGTTGCCGAACGTACCGCGCATGTTGCTGCAGATGCCGCCGGTGACTGCTCCGAGGAACCAGCCGCCGCCGGTGCTACTGCCGCCGCCGCCGGTGCTACTGCCGTCGCCGCTTTTAGGACCTCCGCCTGCTGCACTGCTGCTGAGCATCTGCCCACCTGGTACTAGTACGTATGTCGGTATGCAAAATACCAGCCGCCTTGTACGGCGGAGGAAAGCCTTGGAGGGCTGGGGCTGGCGTCAGTCGGGGTAGATGCCCGGGGCCAATAGCCAACGGCTGGGTGACCCTAATGTTCTCAGCCGCGATGTGGTCCGGCCGCGATGTTGCAAGAGGACGTTGATTGGAGCCTGGCCCACAACAGGCGAGGCACAGAGCAAGGCAGGACGGCGCGGGCTGAGAGCACTCCTGCTGATTGCCGCTACCTGCTGTCTCGCTGGGGCCGGTGTCCAGGGACGCACCTGGTTGTGTAGTCGGACAAGTAGTCGTCTTCGTCGGTCGCCTTCGCGCTCTGAGGTTTTCAGGCAGAAGCTCGCGCAGGAAGACGGACGCCAGCAGGGCGAGGCAGGGCGGGCACGAAGAGCAAGCTCGTATTCGGAGTCAGAGCTCAGATAGTTGCCGGCTGGTGGAAATAGCTGCTGTTATTTCTTATAATGCTCGGTTAAACGATGTTGATGCGTTGTGTGTGTGTGCGTGTGTGCGTGTGTGTACTTATGTATGTATGTATGTCCACTAGGACACGCTGCCCGCCTGCGCGGCTGTCAGCCGGTTGAGGAGAGGAGGAGGAGGGGTGGTTAGGGGTCAGGAGCGCCCCGGACCCCGCGGACCGAGATTGTAGCTATTGACCGCGGGGCTTCAATCGGTGTGTGGCGATGACTCTGGCAATGCTGCGTATCCTCCTTCCGCGGCGGGTGCAATCGGCTGGCGCGAACGAGCAAAAGGGTAAGAGGAGGACGGAATGGGTGCTTGCCTTGGCAGATACGGCCGGTGCTGCTGCTGCTGCTATGCTGGCCGTTATACTGGCTGTTGAGCTGGCTGCTGTGATGGCCGTTATGCTGGACGTTGCGCTAGCTGTTGCGTCTGCTGTTGTTACTGATGCTACAATGGTATCTGCACGAAGGTTCTGTGGGAACACGCAAGGATTTATTCCGAAAGGACGATCGGACCCAGCTCAATGCCCGCACAAACATACCGACAGACACGGACGACCCAACTGGGTACCACACCGTGATTGGTACACAACAGCTGCAGGGGGGGAAGTGCGAACGAGGGAAGACATGGGCCAATCGCTTGCAATCTAGTCGTGATTCTGCTGGACAAAGAAGGAACGGCTTCGTGGTAGAGGGGACGAGCCCAAAGGTCCGAGTGCAGACCGGCCTAGGTCAATGGGGTCATTCGGAGGGAGAGTGAACGGTTCGACTCTACGATGTTGGCCCTGGAAGGGGGACGGGGAGATCTGCGAGAACGCGCGGCGCAATCGGACGTTGTCACCTCGTTTTTCGCATTGTGCGTGCTTTTACTTGTTACGGGTAACAAGTCCCGGGGGCGATGCGGGTCCACCAGCGGGAGCACATGCGGCGTGTTCGTTACGCTTCCTGCTGCTGGAAGCATCTTTGGAATGACAAGAGAGACAGGGAGACGGACCCGTGGGTCCGTCTATCTGCGAGCTCGATAGCCTTACTTCGCGTATGATTTGTAAGTCTTATTATTTTGTTGCTAAGGAATTTTCTCCTTAATTCGATTGTGTCCATCTGAAATGCTTTCGTGCATGGCTTGGCTTGGCTGGGCTCGCAACGATGTTGTTCAGGGACGTGAATAATGCTCAGTTGGGCAGGATTGGGATGTTGAAGAATTTCATTTAGATCCGCCTTTTCTTCATGCGGCATCTAATCCTGCCGGCCGCTACGCTTGGGCTGTTCGACTTTCAAAGCTGCCAAAATGATGTATAGTGGAAGGTTTTATTGTGGAACAACGCTACAGCTGGAAGTAGCGTTGTTGGTACATACTCCTGACTCTTGGCCAGTAATGCCAAGCGGCAACCGGTCGCTGCGGCGCTTTGCGCGTGATGCGTTGTGCAGGGACTTTAAATGCTACCCCTCCTGGGCCACAGCAAACAGCTCTTCACCTGTATGTTTTACTGTAGGGACAGCCATGTATTTGCCATGCGTTTGTTCGCTTCGCATGTTTGGCCTCTCCGTAGAGACATGCCGCGTTTCATGGCATCTACATGCGCGTTCACGCTGCCGGTTGCCCGAAATGGACTTGACTCATTCTCAGAAGCTACGCGAAGTGCTTCGATGCCTAATGTCACGGGCTGCTGACGGCGCCTCTTCTATTTACGCCTATTTATGAGAAACACACAATCGCGGAACGTATAGCTATCAGCCAAGCCGCACACGCGTCCTGACCAGTTAGCATAACCAGCAGCTAGGTTCGTTGCTAGGTTTTGAAATTATAAAACGGAGGTACAAAGCGCCGACACACCCGACTTATCTACCCTGTGGATCTATTCACAGCTCAACCTTTTCAAACCTCTTCACATCAGTCTGTCGTCACTCCTTTAGCACCTCAGCGCTATCTGAACAGCAACAGAAACTGTCAGAAAAAAACATTCCGTCTGTTGTCCCGTTGGCTGGCCCAGCTGCGCCAAAAAACATTAATAGTAAACAACGCCAGCAACAGAAACAGCAACTCGGTAACGTCGAATACTCAGACAACACTCACATACGTAGTCATAGTCGGGATTAACAAATGGCCCTCAGCGGTGGTCACTCAACCAATGTGGCGGAGGACGAGTCGCCGATCTTGGCGGGGCGCCAAAGAGCAAAACGCATTCCGGTGGCGGCCCTCCAAGCGCCGCCGAAGGCGGCGCAAGGCGCCGGTAGCGCCGGTAGCGGCGGCGATGGCGGCGGCGGCGGCGGCGGGGTGGTGCGGCGGATGTGCCGTTCGGTGCTGTCGCAGCTGCCGGGGCCGCTGTGGCTCCAAGATGCTCTGCCTGGGGGTCGGCGGCGGCGGCAACGGCGCGAGGCGAAGGAGGCGACGGCAGCTGAGGAGGCAGTGGTGTTAGGCGCACCAGTGCTCGGGTGGCCACGAGTGAGTGGGCCCCCGGGCGGTGGGGCGCTACACGACGACGTACTGCGAAAGTGCTCCTGTGACCGTGTCTTGGCATTCCATGCTGACCCAAATACGACCCTTCGCTCCCTCCATGCCATGCCTGTCGTACTCGGACGAACCCCCCTTCATATCCCCCGCATTCATTCCATCGCACCAGTCGGGGGCGGCTCCAGGAGGCTCCAGATCCCCAAGACTGCTCAAACCCCCAACCCCCCCGAAGGCCCTTCCACGGCATCATCTGCCGCTCCGCCGCCTGCCGTCAACCCACCACCCCGCCTCGCAGCCCTCCTGCCTGCTCCCATACAGCTATACGCCCCGCCGAGCCGCACTCTACCGGATCCGAAAAACCCGCACGGGATGCCCCCACCCTCCCCCACCCTCCCCCACCTTCCCCCACCTTCCCCCGGCATTCTATAGCCCCCTCCGCTTCTCACACACAAACACACCACCCCGCCCTCAACCCACACATCACTCCACGGGCCACAGGACGACGTGCCGGGGCTGTACAGCTCCTTGTCCTGGCTGGTGTCGAGAATGGCTGTAAACGCGGTGGCGACAGCTGCGCTGCCTCCAGTCGGACCCATGGGTCAGTGTCGTACGCCCTGTGTTGGGGTGCAGGGGATTGCTCGTATCGTCCTGCGGGCGCGCGCTGTGATCTCGGGCCAGTAGTCATCGCAGTACGGCATCATCGCCTGCGCGTATTCACCAGGGTAATACATACGTACATACATATGTATTTACGTATGTATATACGTACATGTACGTATATACATATGTATGTACATATATATGTATGTTTTCTCAGCTTTTCTTCAACTCGTTGCTCTAGACCAATATCTTACAAGTTTCCTTCAGCGGCGTTTCGCATGCATCTCTGGTTTAGATGCCACTGCTGACTAACTCCCGTGTTTCTGTTGTTTTGCTTGTGCATGTGCCTGGGGCCTCTGCCGCTTGTGCCGCCTTGTCAGGTGCGTCCTATAGCGGATCCGAGCTTTGTCGTTTGTTGTTTCGTGATAACGTTGGCTGGCTAGCTAGGTTGGGTTGGTTGGTTGGGTTGGTTGGTTGGGTTGGTCGGGCCAGGGGCGTTTTAGCCGTGGGGGCTGGGATGAACACATGCATATCAGCAAGCAGCGCAGCAGCAGCAAAAAGTCAGCTAACACATAGTTTACTACTTTCATCGTCACGTCTGCGTAGGTTATCCGATTACTTCACATCACAGTTTCCGATACCTTCTCCTCTTTCCCGTCTTTAGTTCTCCACGCCACTGCTACGGTTTCCTATCTCTTTTTAAAAGACTTTCCTTTCATCTCGACGGTTAGGTAATTTTTTCCCGCGTTTTCGCCCCCTGCCTTCTTTGTACTTGGCAGCTACAGTAAGTAACTCGTTTCGCAACCTTTGCTTTGCTGGCCACGTCGCCTCCAGGACTACTAGTCAGCACATCACTGGTCACTAGTAAACATATTCCTGATGCCGCATCCTTTATCTTCTCCTGGAGGACTACCCGTCTATCTCTCTGGGGTATCTGCTTCACTCGCCAGTGGTTCGTCTTCGTCTTACCCCTCACCCGCCTCCCCCCCTCGCACTTCTGCGTCACTCGTTTGTGGTTCGTCTTCCCCCCCCCTTTCGCACCCTCCGCGCCGCCCCGCACCTCCCCCCTCGGGGTCAGCAGCGGCGGCAGCCAAGGTGGCGACCGGCTTTGTGGGCAGCCGTGTGGGCTACCGGGTGGGCCGGAGGTGCGCGCGGAGGCGGCTGGGGCTGGGGGGGTGGCACGCGGGCAGCAGCCCCTCGGAAGAGGGTCCGAGGACGGGACACATCGGCCACCTCACACCGGTACCCGCCCGCCGGGTACCTCACTACGCGTGTTCCTCTCTCACTGAACTGACTAGAGGGACACCTAAGTGGGGGCAGGAGGGGGAGCAGCAGGCGGTGGTGCTGCTGACGGGCTCTATGCGGTGCAGCTGGTGTGGCTAATAGGTGTGGCTAGGGGACCCTAGAGACCAGCGCTCGTTGGAAGGTGGTGGAAGCCCTCTGCCGGTGTCAGCGGCATCTGTGCGCGCCTTGGCTCCCCCCTCCGGCACCACGCTGTACTGCAACCTGCCGGATTTGATGCATCCTTGACTTTTTGTGTCGTGTGGGGCCAGTGTGTGCCAGAGCCGGATTCCAAAGGAGCATCTGCGCGCGGAGGTGCTGCAATGTAATGCCGTATAAAAAAGGGTACGGCATGGTGATGATATGCCGTATAGAAACGTGATGTTTCACTTCCTGCAACACTTGTACACAACTATTTTTCTCTTTTGCCCCTTTGCACGCACGGCCGGTTGGTCGTACTACAGATTGGACCGCGTGGAGGTAGCCCATGTACGGCAATACCTGCAGGACATGCAGGACGCAGCCGCCGCAGGTATGTGTGTGTATGCCGTACATCCGCACGCAGATGCACGGGAGTGACATACACGTCAACATTACTACTACTACTGCAGCAACATGAACTACTACTACTGCAGCAACATGAACTACTACTACTGCAGCAACATGAACTACTACTACTGCAGCAACATGAACTACTACTACTGCAGCAACATGAACTACTACTACTGCAGCAACATGAACTTGTCCGCACGTATGTATGTATGTATACATGTGCGCGGTAACCCCTTATACAGTCAAGTCACACCAAGTCCGAAGTCGGGCTGCAACCATCACCCATCCCACGCTTTGCATTGAGGTCGTGATGCCGGTGGTCATATACCTTCCATCTCCTGTCCCACCCTCATCCCCATCCCCTGCCCCCACACACCACGCAATCGCTCCAGGGATGCGACCGGAGGTAGGGTAGTGGGAAAGCGGGAGGGGCGGTTCTCGTGCTGCATCGCGGCTCAGATTAATTAAAGAAAAACCACGCACCATCGCTCGCGTGTTGTCCTAGGGTTTTAGGCTTTCATGCGGATCACAGACCCTGTGAAGGATGTGGTGGTGGACTGCTGGTGGCGGATGACCAGGTGAAGTTGGGGAACCACATCCACAGAATCTGGATAAGGAGGGCCGCGAATAGCAGGTATGCGCACTGCTAGGGCATAACAGTTAGTTAGGTTAGGTAGTTAGGTTAGTCCGGCATGATCTTCTGTGTGATAAGGTAATAGTTCATGAAATCTGTCTACTTCGTAAAACCTTCGGCTCCCTGGCCCTTGGACCCCTAACGGGCCCATGCGGGCCCGTTACATGCCTGCAGGCGTGTGTGGAGTACGCGTCCATGTGCGACGCAGGGCCCTTTTCGCCGGAGGTACGGAAAGACTTGTACAGGCGTACAATCAGCCCAGGGATACGGATTCAGGCCTGTCAGCTACTAACTGCTGTGGTATAGCCAGGGCAGACCGTAGTATATATAAGCATTGGCGTTTAGAAAAGACAATAGTGATACGGGCAGGATTTGAACCTGCGCCCTTGCGGATAGGAGCCTTAATCCTACGCCTTAGACCACTCGGCCACCGTACCCTGACATGACGAAAAAGTCTCACCTATAGAAGCTACTTAATTGATCTACGTATCTTGCCTCTTCTGCTGCCCCGCTATCGGTTTCCTGTTGATGGAACTCATCACGTTATGCGGCGCCCACATCGCTCTTCTTCTTGTGCAAATGGCACAATGTGATGTCCTGCCTACCGCCGTAAAATGCGCACGGGGCCAATTGTACGGCACCTACTGGCCTAACTTCAACGGCGGGCCGCATATGCCAGGACGATATCTGCCGGTACGACAGAGCGTGCATGCTTCCGTGCACCTTGAAACTAGTTGTTGCCCAAAGCCAAATTACTAACAATTTTAACAAGCAGGATGAGCTGTATTCGTAATGGCGTAACGAACCTGGTCTAGTCACGCACCTCTAGTGGGCGCCATTCTTTACACACACATCTTCCAGACCTTCACGCACGCAATATCCACCCAGGGGTGTAAGTCCGAACCTGTCTGCCGTTGTAAGTATGCTCCTTATCTCCTCCCTTGACAGCACACTGACATACCTCCCGCCTGCCGCCTTTACCCCGCGCCTCCCACCCAACCCCTCACCCCCCCCCAACCCCCCAGGTGGCGGCCGCTGTGGGCCGCCAGCCAGTCCGCCCGGGTGTGAGGAGTCCGGGCCTGCACTAGCTCCCATTGCTTCTTCGTGTCTCCACCTCCGGACAGCCGTTTGGGCGCCTTTAAGGACTCCCCTTGGGGCTCACTTGCTGCCCCCAGTCGCGGCCTCACTGAGCCAACAGTGTCTGGCCACCAACCGGTTGGGAGGGCTGCTGCCCTCGCGCCAACCCAACTTTTTCGCCCCGGCTTCTTGCCCGGGTGGACCTTTGAGCCCCGGACTCGGTGCCTAGGGCCGTGGCCCCGTATCTTCAACAGTCGTGGCAGCAGCACCTGTAGCAATAACAGTGTTGACCAGGAGTCCATGTACATAAGCGTTGGGGAGCACGTCGATGGCTTTGGGGCTTAGGTTATGATACGGCAACCTCAAGGGCGTCTGGAGGGGGCTTAGGCCAACCTCCAAAGCCCCTTCAGAGGCATCCTTCCCGGTTATTACCTCGCTTGGAACCAGACCGTCCTGCAGGCACGTGTATGTACGGAATGGATCTGCACAGGATGGTAGTACGGCAATAATCTGTGTCCCCGCCTATGGGCATAGGCGCCTTTGACACAAATGTACGGCATATGTTTCAGGAGAAGACACTGCTTACGTTTCAAACCCGGGGCATGCTGGTATGCATGTCTGTTGTTGTATATAATACAAAACTGATGTTGTGGGCGCCGTTGTGCGGCCTGTTATCGTTGTGCGACTTTTTAGGGCGACGTAGTGACTGTGGGGGGTTTTCCTGGGGTTTCAGGATTGTGGTTTATACAGAGGATCGCCTGTTTAGGAAACACATCCCTCAGCTCCTTTTGACCTGAGCTGGGCTTCGGTAAGTGCGGAGGGGGCTGGCAGCGAGACCCGTGACAACAGTGAACCAGCTAGTAGTGGGGCTTTTCACGGGTTGTCGTGGTCAATGTGCAGAATGTGAAGCGCTTATCTGCGATGTCGCAGCACCCGGAACAATTCCAGCTTGGGATTCCCAAGTACATATTACGCTACTTCATCCCACACCTCTGTATGTGTTAAGCTGCCACCCTGCCGGACCCGTTGTCAGGAGATCACTAAGGCCGCAGCCGACGCTTGCCGCTGCCGACGCGGGTGCGTGTACGACTAATCAGGTTTTACCGCTGTGCTGGAAGAAAATGGCACACTTCGAAATGCAATGCCTTGCGAAGCCTTAACAAGGAACTTGCATCTCAACCGAAAAGGAAGGGAGAAGCTCTTCAAGCTCACGCACACGTGCGCACTGGGTGTGCCTGTGTGTGTATTAATTTGCGGCACCTTGAGGATGGAAATTTCTGGGGAAAGGCGGAGGAGAAAGACAAACAGGCCATGGCAAGCCCCTGCTGTGCCGTGCCCCGTATGTGGTATGTAGGGTAACGGGCTCAAGCTCAGCTGTCAGACGAAGTGGCTGTCAGACAACGTAAACAGATGACAGCACGGCAGAGCCGCAATACCATATTTTTCTAGATAAATCTGAGCAAGCGTGCACTGTAAATGATCGATAGATTGATAGATTGGTGAAATATATTATCTTCCATCTTCGCAAATCATAGGAATATTTGCAGATTAATTATTTAATACACATACAGTAATTAATTAAGGTCGGATACGCAGACCATATCCCATGGTAAATCCCACCCCGTCACGTCTGTTGTGATACGTTCAGCCTGTGTGCCTTTCCTTACCTTGTCCTCCAGCTCCCTCCTTTGTTAGCGCTGCTGCAAATGCAAACCGACTGCACTTTCTGGCACAACTTCATTTACCCTCCTCCCCTCCTCCGTGGCCGCTATACCCATCTTCAAGGTCGGAAAGGGGTAGAAGAAAGGCAGAGCCTAATTCCAGCGCAGCAAACGGCGGATCTCGCAACATCAACACGACTGGAGAGGGTCACGCGTAGAGTTGTAGTAGCATCACCCGATACTGTACGAACCTTTTAAGGACTGTACTGTTATGTGGTTTCGGAGGCCCTTGAAAAAAATGTCGCGCCTAGGCAACCTTCCTAGCTATTTCACATTGCCGCGACGAAAATGGCATCGGCCCAAGCCAAACCTGTTTGTTAACCAGTCACACCTGGGGAAACCTGGCCCACCTGCTTCCACTGCATACATTCCCCAATCAGCAGGTCCTCTGTCCCCACCCACCGTACAATAAGTCGCAGGCGTACTCCGATCCTCGCCACGCCTAATCCAGCCATTTCTTATACTGGAGAATAGTCGCGAGTCAAACCATAGCACCCACGGAGACCGGCTTGCAGATGTGTGAGTGTGTGTGTGTGTGTCTCACAGCCTGCCAGTGCATTTCTCGATCCGGCTGAATGCCGCCTGCGGCCGTCCTCGCACAGACACACCAAGAACGGGCCCCCTATGGAAACTGGCGGAGGGTTCCGCGAAGCTCGTAAACATGCGTATGATGTGTGAAACAGGGGGGTGTATCTTCGCCCGTGGCAGCTACCCTGCGAAACCCTGCCTTCCCCGGTATTTCGGGGCACGCACCCTCATCCAGTCACCCTAGTCAAGTTCTCAGTGGATCGCTCAGGTTCCGCACCCACCACCAGCATCCAACAGAATCTGCCGGGCCGACAGCGGCCCAACTCCATTCCTGGTCGGCTCGCAGGTTAACTTTATCCCAGGTCACCACCGTCCATCAACTAGGGGCGCAATGCCTTCCACCATCGGAAGGACTTTTGACCCTAATGGGTATCGATCCCGGGATCTCCCGAGGGCAATGGTCGCGCCTTACCAGTAGTGCCAAACTAGTATGTATGTATGCGTATGTACGTATGCATCTATGTTTATGCATGCTTAAGGGTACTCCCATCACAGCACCAGGTCCTCCGCGCGTGCTGCCAAGTCACTGGCCTCCCCGCACACGTCCTCGTGATCGCCCTGTTCGTCCTGCTGTCGTACCCATCGGAGGATGTCGTACGCGTCCACCCACGGTACGCACGCTGCGCGGAGCAGCTGGTGCTGTTGCTTGCAATCCCCTGCCGGCCTTCCCTGGGACACCACCGTCGCCCCCTCATCCCCTTCGTCGCGCCCAGCCCGCGCGTCTGGCGGCCCTGAGACATCTCCTTCCTTCCCAGCAGCTCCGCACACGTAAACATCATCATCGCCCCGGGTCTCCCCCGGCGCCGCAACGGCCGCAACGGCAGTGACCTCCTCATGGCTGCATGCCACACCTGCTGACGTCATCGCTATACCATCAAAAGCGACAGTCGCATTGGTAACGGTGGTGGCATCAGCAGTGGCGGTGTTGGCTGGCGCCAACGATTCCAGCAGCAGCTTGTGCAACGGGAAGCCCCGCCTTGGCATTGCCACGTCACCTGGCCCGAGCCCTAGGCAGGGGCACAAGTCGTTACGGCCGTCGCCAACGTACACCACTTGTCTGTACGACACGCCGCGCGAGGCCTGATCGTCCAGCAACCGCCGCAGCGCAGTGAGCTTGCAGAGATTGGGATGGCAGCGGGGGCAGTCGTGCGGCGGTGCGGCGGACCCGTGGGTCGCTCCGTGGTGCGGCGAGACGCGGACGGCGCCGGTAGCGGTATCCACGGCCGCCGGGTTGGTGAGGATGCGGAGGAACATACCCGACAGAGGCCGCACGACCCCCGGACTGACACCCTCCCCGCGGTCCACTTCACGAAATGCAGGACGGCCTCCTTCCTCCTCACTCCATCCCATGGGGGCAGGTACTGCTCCTGCGCTGGTGCGGCTCGGAGAGGAAGCGCCACCTCCGCCGCCGCCTCCGCCACCGTCCAGAATCCAGGGAATGAAGAGGCTGTTCGCATCTGACAAGATGACGGCATGCTGGCAACCCCTGAGCGGGGACAGGTCCCTTGAAACGGAGGTACCTGCAGCCGGGCCGCCTGCTACTGCTACTGCTGCTGCCACCGCAGCAGCAGCAGCAGCAGCTGCCTCGGTCAGAGTGGCAGCGGGTGTTGGCGTTATTTTGGTTGGCGGCGTGGCGCCTGAGGAGCAGTCGGCGATGGCCTCCAGAAGCTGCCGCATGCCGGGCGTCCAGGGAACGCTCTATGCGGCATCAAGCAAAAGAGAGCAGAGGGGGGGAGGGGCGTCGGTCCTCATTCAGTGTGAGGTTTCTCTCTACACTGCGACGTTGAGGAGTCCCTGATCGCACCGTGATGGCCCTGGATATTTCCTGGGACACCTCCCCATGTATGCATGCAAGCCGAGTGCATGGCATGACCGTCCTTCCTTCCTGCCAAAGACCTACGTCATGGTATCAGCAGCAGCCCGACAGCCCAAAAAACGTCACGTGAGCTCCTCCCTCCCCCTGCAACTCCCTCCCCCTGCCTAAATCGTCTCCCCCTGGTGTCACTGGTGATGTTGGGTGCTATGGATGTGGCAGTTGATAACTTGTATTCTCACATTACAAGTGATTCTTTCCTTCCTTTTCCCCCTCCCTCCCGCCCTCCGTCCCTGGCTGCAATGTCATAATTGGAGATATAGGAGCAGTAAGTAGGTGTCACGCTGGCTTCATACCCGCAAGGGTGCCCCAGCAGCATGCTCATGCGGACATTGTCCATAAGCCCTGAAATGGGATTGGATCAAAGGATAGGAGCTTCTGCCGGCTTCGGATCACAGCCTGGTTATGAACGCTGGCGGTCCCCCTCCCACAAATCTGTGACACGGACCTGAAGCTGGGCCTGGAGGTCATTTGGGGTCACGCCGTGCTCTGCTAGGAAGCTCAGCACGCGGTTCATGTAGCCCACCCAGTCGGGTGGAATATACGAATCCTTAACCGCGGGGGGCAGGGCGCCTCCAGGCGCACATCGTTGGATCCAGGTGTCGCTGTTCTCGTCCACGACCGTCCAGTCAAAATCAAACACCCAAAGCCGGGGAAGCTCGACGGCTAAGCTTGCGGATACATTTGAGGTTGCCATGTGACTGATGTATCGCTGGGAGACGGTTGGTTCGGTGAGCTTGCGAGGCCGTGCGAAGTGAGACTGGATTTGGACCCGGACGTGCAGACGCATGCACTTTGTTTTATGATGCATAGGCCGTAGACTTGTTATTTTCAGTCATTGCTCTATTCGACATGAAACCTACCTGCACCGATATCGTGGCCTTTCGGATGTATGCTGACAGATACTGTAGTACGACGACAAACTTGCTGCTTTGCCTTGCTGAGGTACGCGTGCCCTTTGCATACACATCATACATATGCTATAGAACTTACTTAGAAGGAAACCTACATCTAAACCGTATTTCACCTGGAATATTAAGGGATGGCTAGGAAGCGGCCCCCCGATAATCCTCGCCGACTGGCCCTGTAGATAGGGCGCGGGCCCTTTGACAAAAACTGCTTCACATTTACCTGGGGAGGAGCCGGCGTCCAGTGCTTGGCGGACTGGCGGGCACTTCCCAGCAAGGAGACGGGAGAGCCCTCCCACCGCTTTTCCAGCAAAGGTTATTTGCGGCGTTTGATAAAGGAGATGTAGAAGCTTTCGAGGTGAACAATTGTAGTTGTCGCGTAGCGTCGCCTTGCAACCTATTTTCCGGTTCGTCCTAGCTTCGTCCACACAGCTTGTCGCTAGCTGGAATCGGAATTAGCACACACATATCCGCACCATAACGGACGTTTGATAATCCACGTGCGCCCTTACCTACTTCTCTTGCAGGGCGTGCTGGCAGAGGTCAGCTCTGTGCAGCAGCGCATTACCCTCGTCAACAACTTGTTTTGGAAAGGACGTTCGCTGCTTCAGAGTGCAGCCGGCGCGGGCGACTATGACATGTGCCGTGTGGTAGGTGAGAACGTGGCCCCCTGCGGTTGTAGTTCCGGCGGTTGACTCCTGCCCCATGTTAACCGCTCTGCGCCATCATCCCTGGCTGAACAAACCATCACCATTTTTCTCGATTGTCCTTCCCGCTTTTCCCATTCATCCACTTCTTGCCCTGTTCCTGTTGTTATGCACAGCTGCTGCGTCACGGAGCGAAGCCGGATTTCGATCTCGACAGAGTCCCGGGTACGGCCGCGGCCTCCGCTGCAGCAAACACAGGCCCATGGGGTGGCTCCGCCCTACACCGCGCGGCAGCACTGCTGGGCCGCGGCGCCGCTGCCACCGATGGCCCCGTCAGGGGCAGGTCCCCCGACCCGAAGCGCCTGGCGGCAACCGTTACAATCTTGCTGGAAGGCGGAGCAGACCCCTGCCGCGTAAACCGCGCTGGGCTCACGGCACTGGACATACTTTTGGGCGTCGAGCCTCCGGGTTGCTATCTGGATCCGGCTGATCGGGCTGATCCGGCTTTCGTTGGCAGCGGCGGTGGCGGTGGCGGCCGTGGGTGCTTCCGCGGCCTGGGGATGTTCCGGCGACCCGGCAAGGGCGGAGGCAGCCGCGGCAGCGGATGCTCGCACCGTGCTGCGGCGCTGCGGCGAATGTTGGCGACGGTGGCGACAGGGTCGACGACGGCTCGAATCGTCGCTGCAAGCGTGCAGGTCCGTATGTGTGTACGCGGCTCATCAGCTGGGCGTGCGGTGCAGGACGTGTTGTTGTTATTAAAGTGTTAAACGTCAAAACATTACCACGGGGAGGGTAAACGTGCGTGCATGCATGCATCCATGCATGCATATGCGTCCTCGGTAAAGGAGGGCCAGCCCGGCCACTTAGCCGTCCGTCCAACGCTCTCCGATTTACATCCCAGCGTCAGCCATCAAATTATATTTGGCGAGAGTTCCTTCTTTTGTTCCCACCGCACCCCCCGGTGGCGCACCCCTAGGTGGCACCTTTTCGGGACTGCGATTGGCGGCTGGTGTGGCTGGTGGTGCTGCCACGTCGCTACGGCGGCGTCTTTGTGCAGCGTGCCGCGGACCCCGACACGGGCGCCAGCAGCCCACGCCGGTGCCCACGCGCCACCTCCGGGGATCATGGCCATACTGCCTGTGGCAGCAAAGAAGTCGACAACTTCGAGCTGCTTGGCCTCTCGTGCGACCCATGGAGCGGCACTGCATCTGTGCGGCCTCTGTTGCGCCTGCCACTCAGCACCGGCTTGGACGTGGAGGTCTGCGATGTCGCCTCCATGACGGTGGTGAGCTGGCGGGAATGATGCTTGGAATGAGCTGGCGGCTGATGGACGGGTGTTTGGGGTCAGCAACTGTCGCAAAGCTGTTAATCGTGGCGGCGATGGCAGGGGGCTGCGGGGAAGTAACCTTCTATAACGAGTTCGGTCCAGCTGCCGCTGGTTGTGGTGTGTGCCTTCACCGCACCCAACCCAAACATGACACGCGTTTGGGTCAGACCTCACTTCCTGCGGTGCATGACGTTTAGCGGAAGCGACCTAGCCTCGTGGAACAACTTTGCGCGGAACAACTTTGCGCAGCTGATACCTATCGCAACAAATGTCATTCTTCCCTCCTCCCCAGCGACTCATCTTTCCCGCCGGCAGCACGGAGGCCAGAGCGCGGCTGGAGAGGACATTGCCTCCACAGGCCCTGGCCTGTGCGCGGCGCTGGGACCGTCAAACTGCGCCTCAAACTGTGGACATATCCCCTGGCGGCGACGGACCGGGGCTGTCACCGCTGTTGCCTCGACAAGCCGGCTCAGTGACGGCGGCGGCCGCAGCGGATGCGGTCGTCATGCCTGTGGCCGTGCACCTTCGGCACCCTGCTGACGCTACAGTTGCTCAGCGAGCTGACTTGAGGGATTGGCTGGGGCAGCTGGCCCGTGTGTTTGGCAATCCTGCACGGCCCCCGAAGCTGCTGTCCACACCGGGTATCGAGTCAGGGCCTACTTCCAGGTCATCGGGGCTGCAGGCCCTGGGCGGCACCGCGACAGCGACGGCACCGAGCCAGGCGCAGGGCCCGGTGCGTGCGGCGGTAGTGACAGATGCCGGGGAGGCAGTTGGTGATGATGATGGTGGTGATGATGATGATGATGATGATGATGATCAGCGGCAGCAGCGGCAGGATACCCGCCTGGGCCTCCAGCCTGTCGCGAATGCATCAGCAAATGGAACGTTGCAAGGTATGTGGTCGCGCCGTGGTCTGGCTGGGAGTTCGAGTACGTGCACGCCAGGGGGTTTGGCAAGCCGGAGCGGGGCAGTGCACACACAGGAAGCCAAAGAGCGGCTTGCACTGCGAAGTGGCAGAACCTCGTCATCGTCATCGACGTTCTCGTCAACGGCGGCGGTAGCGGCGGCGGCGGCGGCGCTGGCAGGCGATGTGGTTCGTCAGGGGGATGATGAAGGTGACGGCCCGGCGAGTGCAGAAGGGCTGGCGGCAGCGGCTGATTCAGAGATCCGGCCCGAAGGTGTGCTGGTACCAGGAAATGACGTACGGTCCCAGGCGCAACAGCGCCGGTCGCGGCTACAGCACCATCACCATCAGCAACAGCAACAGCAGGGACGACAACCGCAAGCCCAATCGGCCGCGATCGATGTAAGTGACTGCGCAGGGCCCGCGGGTAGCGACGGTGGCCGCCACATTTCGCTGTGTGTCGTGTGCCTCAGCTCGCGCCCGGTGATGGGCTTCCGGCACGGCCAAACCGTGCACTTGTGCGCCTGCCTGCCCTGCACACAGCAGTTGAGGCAGCAGCTGCAGCGGCAGCACCCCGGCACACGCTTGCTGTGCCCGTTTTGCCGGCAGCCGGTGGAAGAGGTGCTTAGTGTTTTCACGTCATAGCTTATCGAACTATCATCCGCTGGTGCAGCGAATCCGCATAGTCTGACGTGTTGGGTGTAGGACTGGGCTCTGGAGCCACATTGTCTCAGGGTCCTCTGTTGAGCCATGGTTGCGTGCGGTTGGGGCGGTTAGGGTAGTTAGGGGGGAAGGGCCGGACACGGCGGCTGCCTTTCCTGGCCCTTTGAGGCCATGGCCCTGTGGATATGCGTGCGGAAAGAACTCCTGGTACATGGATACGGGTGTATGAATGGGCGGATGTATGAACGGGTGTATGAATGGGCGGATGATCAGGTGGGCCCATATGGGAGCTGATGGCCCGGGGGCCGAGTGGCTGAAGGGCTGCAAGGTGGTCTAAGGGCGTCTAAGGTATGAGAAGAAACGATTTTGGGGCAGAAAGTTGTTATCACGTGTTCGTGTCGAGACCACCGTGTGCCGGCGGTCAAGCAGGGGGGGAAGAATGGTGGCATTCCACACTGAGTCTCCGTCCGTACCTGCAGCGCTGTCCTGATTTCTGTCTTTTTTATAATAGACAGTTTCGCTCTACTGTGTGTTCCATTGATTCCAAGGACTGTGTGCAAGGAGAGTGTGCGCTATATAAGCGCCGTGGGGAGGAGGAGGAGGAGAAGGAAATGGAGAGAGGAGGTGAAGTGTGCGCTTGCCGTGAAGTTTAGGATCATAGCCTTTAGCTGCTAGGAGTTGTGTGCCAGGCCAGCTCGTGGTATCCTGCGACGGCGCCGGTTATGCGCACCGTGCCTTTATTTTCATTGGACGTGCTCGATATACAGCGGCTAGCGCTGAGATGCGCATCGTCTTCATATGAGATGGAGTTGGTGGGATGGGGTACGCGGCGGCAGGCAAGAAGGCGAAGGGTTTTTTCGAAGAATTGCGTGAAGTGGTTACGGGCGGTTAAATACATGATAAACGAGCTTCCAGACGCAAGTTGGTTACAAAATGCAAACAAATAGACCATATATTTCCTCTTCCCCCAGTCCACAACGGTTCTGGCACCAGCTGCGCGAATGGATAGTGTGGACGTGATGTGCAATTTGCGTGACAGGTCGCACACCAGGTTAGAAGAACAAAATTCATTAGCTACGTCAGCATAGCCCCAACAAGCAAATGACCTAAATAACTACTATGCATCCCAGCAAAAAGGTATCCCTCGCATAATCAAAGCGTATTAAGGAAGCGGCTGTCTTGAGCCCCTCTCACCTCTCTCCCTGCCTCGCTGCAACCTGGTATGCACCGCAGGTATGCATACCAAACTTCAGGATGAGCAACAACTACAACTACAACGATGAGTAGTCGTGCGGAAAAGCACGACGAAGTTTTATTTTCAAAAGGTCGCTGCGCGCTTGCAGCTGAAAACGTTCTAACGGTCCCCTGAGTTGCTCGATAACCTTTCGACTCGGCTTCTAGCCCAGTCCACGACGCTAGATAGCGCTGCCGGCTGCGTATTCAATCGCACCCAACCGGCCTAATGCAATAGCATCGAAGAGTTTCCATCTGCCCAGGTGTCTTTCATCATCAGGTACATTATCCATATTGTATTCTCATCAGTCGACAAAGCAACTTCCTGCGCAAAATAGCAGCCGGTTCGAACGTCCGAAAAATCGAAAGTAATGGGGCAGCAACGGGGCTGAAGATGTCGCCAGGCCAGCGGCTGCTGGAGGCGAACCAAGGCCAGGACAAGGTCCTAGCGAACCCCCGAGCCACTCAAAAGCACACCGCATGTAACACCAATATACACGTCCAACTCGGCGCGTAGTGCCTTCCCCCCAGGCCTCATACAATTCTCATGAAAGAGGATCTGGCACACACATCGTAATCAACAAACTTAGCCTAGCCAGGAAATCATTGAAACCTTAAGTCCCTCGTTTTTCAATTTACAGCTAGCTCGTAAGCCACCAACCCGAAACCGCGGATTGCATTTTGCAAACTTCCGAACGTGGGCCCAAGTATTCCCCCAGGACTGGGGTTTGGAAATTCATGGCAACAAAAAAATGTCAAAACCAAAACGCCCGCAACCGTCGGAACAATACTTGCGCGCTGTCCCTCCCACTCGGGGAGTCTGGGGGTTGGATAGCTAATACACATTTCAGGGCAGAAATGCACGTCAGGATGAGCTCCATCCCCTGCACCACCAGCACCGAGGCAGGTGACAGTAAATGAATATTGGTCGCCAGCAGTGCAACCCGAGCGTCCTTGAGCCGCGCTTGCGCACATGCTCTCGCATAAGTAGTTAGCACGGCCCTACAGCCCCCCGCGCATTGCAGCTCGAGGCTACCCAAGCACACAGCCATACGGCGCTAACACGGCCGATATGCCTGTATGTGTGTCCTTTACATTCGTAATGGCGCACAGCAATCCTCCCAGTCGTCCTACAGACAGGGAACTTCTTAACGGAACACAACGACAATGTTTCAGTTGTACCTCATGACGTACTTTTCCCGCCGCCAATGAACCTCAACCAGACGCCTGCCCCCAGAGGCAAACACACACATACACACATACGCACACACGGAGGAAAACATACATACAGACAGACACATATGCACCTTGCCTTTTCCACCTTATGGACTGCAGAAGCAGGACGGTTTCCGAGATACTGACGAGAACAACAACCGCCACAACCGCCACACGCGACGCTTCACCACTCGGTCCATGAGAGGGCGTCACTCACTTTGCGGCGCAGTCCCCCAAAAAGAAGGAACCAATAAGAAGGAACCTTTTCCGACTAAATCATGGCGCATGTGCACTGTAACCTTAGTTCGTACCATACATGGAGTATCGAGCCGCTATCAGAAAGTCACATAACGTCTGCACAGGCAATACATTGGTACGTGCTGTACGTATGTACGTACGTACATGCACAGGCAAATGAAATTACACAGACACGCTTGCACGGGTGCGATCCGATGGGACACTCCTCCACCCCAGGAGGGGGGAGCTCCGGTTGCTTTTATTGGCCCATTGCCATTGTCAAGGCTGCTGCTTTTTATCCAGCGACCGGGAGGGGTAAGACCTGGCCTACCTCCACCTTCACACATACATACATACATACATACGTAAATACATACGCGGTAGTGCGGTAAGAGAGAGACGCTCAGTCCTGACACTTGCACACCATTGTACGGCAGCGGCCTCAGTACCCTGTTGGCAGTTCTTTGGAACTAGGGACCGGGAGCCCCTGGTCACCGATGGTCCTACTGCTTGTTAGTTAAAGAGTTCCGTCCCACTGGGCCTCGTAAGCCACTGGTAAGGCTCTCTCCCCACACGGAGATGGATCGCCCCACACGGAGAGGGAGAAAACACACATGTGGGGCCACATCGGCGCCGCGCCACTCGGCAATGGCTAGGTATGACACATTTACGAGCTTTCTACGGCTATTACTAACTACGGCCAGGGATAGTGCGTGATGTTGGACGGAGGCACGGCTTTGGGTGTTCTGCCTGTCCATGCCCGGAAAGCCCACGGTCTGAACCTGGGCCCGCATGGAGAGAGGTTTCGAAATCGCCACCAGCTGCGTCACCACCGCCAACAACAACAGGAAAAAGGTCGTTGGGAATAACGACCTGTGAAGGAAATCGTGAGAGGAAAGGAAAGGACAGGAAAGAAAACGCCAAAATCGGAGGTACGGCATGGGCCCGATACGTCAAGGCACATACGACACACCACATCACACATCGCAGTGCGTGTCGGCGGTGCCGCCGCCACCGGCGGTGCCACCGGGGAAACTTCCCCCTTTTTCCTTTTCCTTCCAGTTTCCTTTCCTTCCATGGACTAATGCCGTTTTCTTAGCGTTCTCGGCGCGGGGACGCCATGACAGGGAGACTTGCGCACAACAAGACATCTCCGACAACGCGCCCCCGTGCTGGCAGAAAAAGGTTATGACTCGGCACAGACTCGGTCAGATCCTATGTGTGTTCAAATGGCCCAGAAGCCTCCCACTCTGTAACAATTCAATTCAAGATCCCACATCCAAGTCCTTAGGCGCGAAAGAGAACCCATGCGATGTCGAGCTCCTGTGTGAGGCCGTCCAGAGGCTATCATGCCCACTTCCGCGCGCATGTGCGCATGCGCGGGCGTTAATCGAGGACGAAGAGAATGCGGGTGGGACAACCACAACCCGAAATCCATCCCGCTGCACCGACTCAAAACACACACGTATAGCATAAAGGTTATGGCAACAGTTCTGAAGTCTGCCTTCAGCACAGGGTCCTGTACAAGGGCAGAAACGTACCAGCTACCACGCTTCGCTACGGCTCTTAACTACGCTAAACTGCGGTAAGGAGCCTTCCCTGCGGCATTTGCACGTTGTCAAATCGGTATTACTTACGGGTCGTTGTCCTCCTTGTTGCCGAAAGCTGAAAGGGCTAAGACGCGCAAGTGGAGGCACCGGATGATGTGCTTGACCTGAAGGGTAGCTCGGCGCCTGACGCGTAAACTAACCACAAAAATGTTTCCTATCTTTGACAATTCGATCCGATAGTTCTGATAATATCTTATGCTGTATTCGTTAATCTTAAAATATTGATAGTTTGTTACGTCTCGGAAAGTGGTTGATTTACGTGTCCTGAAGTCCTGTCGCATCCTGCGGCTGCTGCTCCGGCTGCTGAGAAATTGCACTTCCGCAGCGGCAGCACAGGCACGGGCGGTTACCTCTGTCCTGCTTATCCTGCTCGTGCTGCGCTGCCTTTTGCTCGTACGCGCGTAGTTGCTTCAACAGCACCTGTAAGACGCCGCACAGCGCAGCAACAACACCGCACACAGAAGAAATTACTTTGCCGGTAACGCGAACAAGACGAAATTTTTGACACGTCATGACGGGCTTAAGCAGGTGGTATATACCGTTGGAGGCGACGGTGGGCGACATAGGACGATGGTACATGCGTCGTTTCCGTCGTCGCATCGCGCATCCAAACGACTGGACATGCAAAATAGTCGCTACCACTGCAACCCAGGGAAATCAACCAAAGATTTATACAAGTACTGCAATATGGTATACTTTATGCAACAAAACGAATGTTAAGCCCGTAGTGATCGCTTTCACCCACACAACAGCTCTCAGCAAACCCTAAGTCCACCAAAATGAAAACGCAGCTTCCGCAGCTGCCGCTGATCCGCCGGCATCCTAATGCCCCGAGAGCTCCAGAGCCCTCTACGGACCTCATTGTGTTGCTCCACCATTCGCTTCTCGCGCCTCAGGGACTGCAGCTGCTGCTCCAGCTCCCGCACGTTGAGCTCCATCGCCGCAAAGGCTTCCTGCCAACGATTTTACAAAACCAAACCAGCGCAACCGCGTCACCGCCTCAGATTTTGAAGTTTCGCGGCCCAACATGACCTCCTCTTACAGGACAGGATTGCAGGACACGCATCCAGCTCTCCGAACGCCGAGTTGCCGTACATAGGGTGCCGTACAAGGCATTAAGGAATAGTATGTGCTCCGCAGGTTAGGTGTCCCGCGGAAGAGAGATGGCGTGAGGAGGGTACTTTGCGGACGCTGAGATTACAAGGAGAAGGAGCAGGAATCCACGTGCTATATGGGGAGCAAGTTGGGAGGGAGGCGGGCAAGGGCGGCGCAACGCTACCTAAAGCTCTCACCCGTTGACGTTGTCGAAAGCGGCGCTGCGCGTCTCGATTTTTCGCGTTGCTATTACCGGTGCTGCCGACTGTGTTTGATGGCTGGCTACATGAAGGGGACCCCGATGCTTGCTGCTGCTGCTGCTGCTGCTGCTGCTGCGGGTTGTTGTACAGTGTGTTTCGGTCGTCCTCCAAGGCGTGTCTTAGCCCTGACAACTGCGTCGTGGCGCCCAGGAAGCCGCTGCCACCGCTGCCACTGACTGCGGCAACGGTGCCCGGGATGGCTGCAAACCCCAAGGCCGAGGCGGACGGTTGTATCGGTTGTGTTAGTTGAGCCCAAACCGAGCTGGTTGTCGTGGCGGGCGGCGTCATCGTATCCGCGACGGCCCCGCCAACACCTGGGGCGTTGCTGCTGACGGTGTGTTGGAGTGAAAGGCCGACGGCGGGGTTCATTATGCCGTCTGTGGAAGTATTCCGCATCACTTGCATGTGGACCCCTTGAAACTGCTGCAGTAGCAGCTGCTGCTGCTGCGGCAGCGGCGGCGCCGGCTGTTGCTGCTGCTGTTGCGGCGGCGCCGGCTGTTGCTGCTGCAGTAGCTGCTGCAGCTCCAGCCGCTGCTTCTGTAGCTGTAGCTGCTGCTGCAGTAGCTGCTGCAGCAGGAACGCAGTGGAGGTCGTCTGACCTGTTGTGCAGCCCGAAGACGAAGTGGATGCCTGTGTCCCGACGCCGAGACCGTACGGCATTGTCAGCGCCGCCGTCGCCGCTGGCTCTGCTGCGCTGCTACTACCGCCGGCGGGCCCTGAGGGCAGCATGCCACAAAAAGAGGAGGAAGGTAGAGAGGAGCCCCCTCCCGGTGCTGAACTGCCAGCGTCGTGTATCTCACACGCTATACTCGACGAGGCGGGACTGTGTTCTTGGATGCAAAGCTGCTGCTTGCAGTGAAATGACCTGGATGCTTCCTCGGGAGCGGCAGCTAGCTGCCGCGGCAGTGTGCGCATCGCAGCTGCGGGCCATCGCGCCGGATGGTGAGTGGGTGGGGGTTCGCAGGCTTCAATGCATCCATCCACTAATGCATTGTTCTGGCCACGCATCGCAACAGCGTGCGCTAGCCACCGCTGGTCAAGAAATAGGTCAAGGAATAAAACGACTAAAGGCAGCGTAAGATTGATCTTTGCAATTCATTACAACGAAGCATAGAAAGTAATTAAAGCCCTTGCCGACAGGTTATACAGGCTGGGCCTATGCCGACAGGTTATACAGGCTGGGCCTATGTGCCACCAGGCCGTGATTGCTGGGATACTCACGATCGCTGGACTCCAGGAAATTGTTCCAGGGAACAGAAAATGTCGTACAGCTGGCAAGGTTTGAGGTTGAGGTTTGAGGTTGAGGTTGCCAGGGCATTGACTCTGCGTTGCCAAATGGCTCGCAGGAGGCCTGCGCATCCAGGTCGAAGGCCGAGAAGGCTGTAGGGAAAGCACTCGGACCACACAAGCCCATGCTTATGGTCGTGCGCATAGCTGTAGTTTTCAAGTCGCAGGGCCCGGGCAAGCTGACACAGCCCTGCATGTATGCCGGGCGAAGGCGGATGGTGACCTTCCGGGCTGAATGCTGGACGGCCGGCAGCTGACAGTGATCCTGCAGATCAAGCGAGCCAGGAATGACATACTGTGATGCATTGCGGAGGAGATTAGGGCTGGAAAGCAGCCTTGGGGGTCCAGAAGAGCGCAACTGCGCGGCCTTCGGCCAAGCGCACATGTTGTTTGAGGTACTCCAAGAGCGAATCGGGATGCTCAAAAATAAGCTACTTACACCCTGAGAAGTCTTGGAGGTTAAAGATTAAACGCGCTATCCAGCCGCCAGTTCGATAGTCGAATTTCCTATCGAGAAACCTCGGAAACGTAGAGAGACAGCCCTAACTTCGATGGGAGCAGGGTGACTGTGGGCAATGTTATAATTCTTATTGTAAGCGCTAGTTTAGCTACATCATAATTTTGGCGGCTAGCCTGTTCCCATGGCCGGCGCATATGCGATCGCTGGGCTTCGGAGCGAGAGAGCGATAGGACGCCACATAGCATAACAAACCTGTGATGAGATGAAGAACAAAATATTTTTGAGGGAATGTAACGATTTAATTGACTTATGAAGGGAAAATTCTTGCATTCTGGCGCGCAATGTTTTTAATGGAGAACCGCCATTTCCGTCGACTGCGGCTAGTTTTCACGGCGCCAAGTCGACTTCGCCCCAGCATTTTTGCTTGTAACATACAGGCAATTTTCTATATGCTGATGTTAGCATGTTGCTTGGAGTGTCACGCCATGCGCTCACTCCCAAGTCCCTGTAGCGCGACGCGGCAAGAGTCATCGGTGCTGTAAACTATCTAGCGTTTACTAGTTTGGTCCACACCATCACTCATACATTGTACTTATGGATTTTTGAGCTCCTGTCACCAACATTCAGCAGTAAATGGGCTCATTAGTAAGGTGCCGTTGCCAAAGCGTATATTCCCATCGGCGATTCCCCTTAGCTTCTTTCCCGGCAGAAAATCTAAGATGAGTAAGAAGGATGATGAAATTGTCATTTAAGTATCACTCCATAAGTATTGGAGTGCTTGCGGTCTAAGGAACGGCAACATCACGAAATTGGGCATCTTGAGCCTTATGTTAGGAAAGGTTTCAACAAGAGAATGTTAACATATTTCCACATGCAATATTATTCATACAGAGACTCTTCACGCCTCCTTACTGCAACAGAGGACGCTGGAGGGCGCGTCCTGGTTTCAACTGCCGCCTGGCACACCCGCACAGGCGCAGGTGCAGGTGACGGCTCAAGCCGGCTCAAAGATATAGCACAAAATCCAGCATAACTATTCCATGAAATCTGCGTCCGGCATTTAGAAATCCCTCTTCCGCCCGCTATGTCCTGGTTCGTACGCTTTGCAGGACCGCGTCGCCGAAGGTGGTAGTCATTCTACCGCCTTCGATTATGCTGGTGTCTCGTGTAGTGTGGTTATTTAGTTTAACTCCATTATATTGTGTTCAGCTCCTGCTTGGTCTCGCTTGGCAGGTTTCGAACTTACAGCATGCAACCATGCACTTCAAGCATAGCACACCACTCGGTGTCCAGGCGGCTTGAGTGCTCCCAGCACTATCCATACCATACATAGCTCGCGAGCACTGCTGACGCCGCAATCGCATTTTGAACCTCACAAACCGGTCTTTTACCAATCAAGGCCTTAGGGCAGGTTTCCATTGTGCACCGTCACGAGGGCGCTGGAAGCAGCACAATCAAAGGCCCATCTTTCTTCACGTAGGCGCTATACAACATATCCCGGTACGGCCCAGAAGGGAGGAGCAGGGGACTCGCTTCCAGACAAAGATAGGCAGCTCAGCCCGTTTCAACGTCTGCCGCTACAGACGCGGTTGCATTTCGTTGGCGTCCGCTCACTGCGGAGCCGTGGCACACCCCAACGTCATACAGCTGCGTATTAGACGTCATTAGGCTTGGCAGCTGCCGCGCAGTGTTATGTCACGAATGCGCCACAGTTCCCATCAGGTGGAGAAGTCGTTCCGCAGCCGTAGATATGTTCTTGTTGGGCTCAGGATAGAGTCATGGAGTCAGAACCGCTGCCTTGGCTGCGCGGCCGCCGATCCGCGGCTGAGCAATGGAACCTGCGGCTACCCGATCTCTTACGAATGTGCGGCTGCACTGGTGCAATGAAACGAACCCACCGGGCACATACCCTCGATTCCCTGAGCTGCACTGCTGCTTAAGGTGAAGGCCGGAGCTGCCAACCGAGCGCTCCGAACTTTTATCCGTTAGAGCAGGCAACCTAGGGTCATGCAGTTGCTTGTTTTGGAAACTTACAGCATTTGGGTACTAGTAGGATGAAGGGACGGGAATGAAAGGACGCACCCGCACAACAGTTCGTGAGCGATGCGCCCGCGCAGCATGTAACGGCGAAAGCGATGAACGTTTTCTTTCAGTGCACGTTGATGGTTGTTCCCGCCTAATGCATGCACAGAGCGAAAGTGACAGCGCACAATCAGAGCTTTTGGAATGGGCGTCATTGCCAGCAGCCGTACGTGTGGGGCCGCACCCATTCATTGAATGCCGCCAACCTGACCTTATGCGCCGCCTCGATCCAAACCTGTACGTTATGCATGTCGCTGCCCTGACAAGCACAGGAGGAGGAGGGGCCCGCATCCAGGGTTTCCCTCGGCCAGTACAAAACGATGTGTTAGTCAGTTAATATGATCCAATGCCTCAGCCAGTTCATATGCTCCACTGTTCGAATAGTCTTCAATGGTGTTCGGGGTAAGATGTGTGTAGTGGCAGGGAGCAGCGCCCTTGCGAGAAAGCCGGAACCCGTTTTGTACTTGCCTTAAGGGTTCCCCACTCCAAATACTCCAAGATACTCCTTAAGAATACTTGATTGCTTCGACCTTCCAAACGTTTGATTCATTATAAATGCTGCACGTTAAACAAACCCTCGAATGTTGCGGAGGAGCCCCGTTTTCGATTGCAGGTCCGAATAAAGAGTGATGTGGTCAAGGAATTGCTAGGGTTGTCCTAGCTCCGGATGCATGCTTTAAACAGTCTGTTTCTTAAACTAGCGTAAAAGGTGCGGTCTACTCCCAAATAGTAGGCATCGGCTACATGCCTCCATTACATCTCGCGTGGTTAGGCGCCGAGGTCGCGCGTTGCGCAGATCCTCAGCCTGTCAAAAATTTAGCCCTGCCGGACACCCGAAGGGCCGACTACGGAAGGCCCTCGCACAGTGCAAGGCGAAGACCAACCATACAACCGAGGCCATGAGGACCACCTCGAGAAGCGGGCCAGGTAAGTATGAGGGTAAAAGAAGCGGCGTCGCCACCCAGTCCAAACAGTTATTGTCATCGCTTATCGTCCGAGCGATGGTGGGTGGGTTAAATCATAACAAGCACCAGAGTGCCGCCACTTTACGCGCTGGCGTTTCCCCTGCCTATAACTGAAGGGTTTCTGAGAGTAACGATAGAAAACCGAGGTTTTCTGTGAACTCCGAAGAGTTGGTTGTGTGTGTTGGTACGGCATGTCATGCCGGAAAGGAGGTCGCTATGGTATGCTAGAGTATTTTTCAGGTTTCGTAGCTACTTTAGGTTGCTGCTGTGACGCGTTAGGTGTCCAGGCCTAGTGGTTTGCCTCGCGGTAGCTGGCCTCCACTCGGCCTACCTACCGAAGGAAGACTTAATTCAATTGCTTGCAGGTACCCTTTGTAACGTGTGATGGTTTCTCATGAAAACCACAGGATACAACTCCAGCTATGAGCCGATTGCGTGGAGAATGAGGCGTTACATCCTTCCATTTTAACAACTTTATTTGCTGGGGTGGGCCTCTGGCCCCGGTGATTACAGGGACCTGTACGCAGCAACACCTCTTTCACACGCCTTGTGTAAAAATAGTAGCCGCCGAGCAACAATCCGCACTGAGAGCGCCAGCTGGAGTTTTCGAGGCTCCTATCCAACCTTTTGACGACCTTTGACCGCTCCTTCCCTTGAACAATTTTCATGTCCTCCCAAGAAGCCTAAATGGTGGTCCAAGGATGGGCGTCAAAAGGGTTTTGTCCTTTTGGAGTCCTCGCAGGCTAGCCAGCCAAAGTTGGAGATGAGGGCACCTGCCCCAGCTCAGCATGTCTACTGCTCTCAGAAGATGCTTCCATGCTTCGTATGCGTGCCAGGGATATAGGTGGCATGGGCACGGACATGGTGGCATGGCATCTTGGCGGCGCATCATCCCACAGCTTGCATTGAAGTCCGGGAATCTCCCACCACCACGTGCGGACAGTTTCAGCCTGTTCTCAGCCCACAGTCCCTCCAGGAAAAGATGGAAAGCTCCACAACGGTGGAAAGAACGAGGATTCCAAAACCCCACAGTTTCACGCCGCCACCATTGGTTTGCCGACCAGATGCTCCAACTCCTGCCTGCTCAAGCGCCAACCGCCAAGCCGCCAACTACGAGCCACTACTAGCCAGCCCCATTTGGCTTCATCCTTAATCACCCGTTACATCGCATTCCGCCCAGCTATCCCTTACCGACTCACTTTGCGCATCAACGCACAGCACCTACGGAACCATGTTATGAAGCAACGCAGCCACCGTCTCAGCCTTATTTAACCCGCCTTCTCACAACAGTGCCAACCCTGCGGCAACACTGTATAGGCCTGGCCTGCAAGACGAAGGGCGGCTGAAGGTCCCGGTTCCCAGACCCACTTTCCCCTCCTGCCGCCAGATACACCTCCTCCGACTCCGCCGCACCCACGGGCCTTACTCAGCCGCAGTGTCCCGACGTCTCCATGGCCGCCACCAGTTGTGATCCCTCCCTTTGGAGCCGCTGCAGCTGCTGCAACCGGTGCATCGAACGAAGAACAGACAGAGGCGTCGTTGAGCTGCCGCCGGCGCCGGCACCAGCAGGCGCACCTGAACTGCCGGAACCACCTGCAGCGCGCCGTGGTGCCGGTGTGCAAAGCTCCCGAGGGTCAGCGAAGTGGGTCAGGAAACCGCCGCCGGTGTCCTTGAGCTCCTGCTCTCTAAGACCCACCATTGAAGGGGGGCTGGGGCCAGAGCTGGGATAGGGCTGGGAGGTAGCGGCGCCAAAAGCCGTCCCGAAACCAGGCGTTCGGGCGCTCGGTGAGGCAGGAAGTGTGGTGTAGGGCATGCGCGGGTTCATTAGCTGGTGTTCCGATTGGGCAACAGCCGCGGTGATGGCCGTGCGTGTTGTTTTTGCGGGTGAACGGAAGGAAAAGCCCTGGGGGATCGCAGCTGTCATGGCAGCTGAAGGCTGCAATGGCCAGCGGGACGGGGAAGAGGGTGCCAAGTTGTGCGCCTTGGGCGCAGTGGGCGCGCTGTTGCTTACTCCTGCATGCGGACTTGGACTGGGGGGGAAAGCGGGGATGGGCCCACCTATGCGCTTCGCACCCGCCTGGGACGCCAGAAGGCTATCACCGGCTGTTCGGAGGTCGTGAAGGCGCTGCAGGAGCGCCTTGGGGTCGGCCGGCGGAGTGGGCCTGGCGCCGGCAATGAGAGGCGCGCAACATGTGGAGGAGGGGGGGCGTAGATGTGCAAAGTGGCTTGGATAAATGGAGACCTGGTCGAGGCCCTACAGATCTTGCGTTTAAGTGCCGGAAATGTATCCCGCAGTATGCTTGCAGGGAAGCACGTACCTTGCCACTTCGGGTTTGGGAAGCAGCGGCACCTGTATAACGGTAAGCTTTAGGTTCGTCCCAATCGATTCCTGCCCAGACTCCTTAATATGCTCGTCAGCAACCGCCGATGTCGTTGAGGCTCTTACAGCTGCATCAAGGGTTGCCTGGTTTTGTTCAACGGGCTCGCTTTTGCCGCCCGGCGTCACAGTTGGTGTCGTTGTCCGCGATTGGAGTTTCAACCTCAAAAGAGGTGTTGACACTCTGACATCTTGTCCAGGAGCGTTGCCGTTGGCCTTGGAAGCAAGGAACTGCCGAATCTTTACTACAGGTGCCATCGTAATTGAACTAGGATTACTTGTGCCTACTTGTTAAAACAATTACAGGGAGCATCTGCTCTGCCGCAGCGCGTTGGCAGGTCTGCGGCTTATGACTGTTGCAGCGTGTAAAATCAAACTTTCGGAGAAGCTTGCAGTATAACGACAGTCTTCCTTCAAACAGGTTTGACTATCCACGTCTCACAGAGCCTTGTTCATTCTGGTTACTCACAGAACAAATTATTCTGAAAGAGGTCATATAAACCATGCTGTATAATAGTGCGTCATGTATCTTTCTACTACGTCAGCTTTTTTGTGTTTCTGATGTTTTCCATACCCCGTGTTACCGTACGGGTCCCTTGTACAGGCCTCCTCGTACAGGGCTCCAGGCGTCTATCCTGACACTCATTTCCAACACCGCATACCAACACCTGAACCTCGCAGCTCAGTAAGTGGATTAAAGACAAGCTCGCGGCCGTCCTGGCGTCAGGTCAATACTCGTCGCGTATCAACGAAACAAGGCTATGGCTGGCCTTCCATTCAACATCCTCCATAAACCCCATGCGTACGGTGCCCCAACATGCACATGCGAGTCTTAGGAGTATGCTCGCTCCGTATTGCTCCCAGCCCACTCAAGTCAAGCACAGGTCCCAAACAAAAGGTCTCCAAGATCTTAGAATCTTCCGTACAGTAGACCGCCGTACGACACCTGCAAATGAATACCATCACAGCCGCAATCCGAATCCCGCCGTCCACCTGCCCACGCCGCCTCCTTGCCCGCCCTCCTGCTGCTCAGCTGCCGCCCTGCTGCCTTTACCCGGACCTGCTTCCCCGGGACCGCTCCCACGCGCACCCACACACGAGCCCCCTGCGCCCCCTAGCACTTCGCGACCTCCAACTCACCACCAGCTCCCCTGCACAGCAGCCCCACCCCCCCCCCGGCCCACGACGGCGGAATGGGGCCCTCGACTGCTCACATGCTGCCCGCGTGGCCTTCCGCCGCACGCGCTCGCCTCGCCTCGTTGGCTGCCTCCCAGGACTCCGAGACCTGGCCCGCACCCCTCCCGGACAGCCCCAATCGATTCCCGGCCCCGCCAATTCCTCCACCACCATCGCCACCACCGCCACCACCACCGCCGTCATCACCACCACCGCCAGCCTAACAGTCCTAAGCGGCCGGAGGCAACACGAGCCGCCATCCCCATCCTTGGCCGCGCTTTCTGACCGTGTATGCATACATACATACATACATGATCGCGGCATCATGACAGGTACGCGGTGGCTGCTGCCTGCATCCAGTGCTGACTCAGCGCATTGCGGTTGGGCGGCAGAGCCCAGGCTGGATTCCGGGAACGGTGTCCCTCGACCGAGATGTCGTAATCGTACGACAAGTCGTTGGCGAGTTTGGTTGTCACGGCCGCAGGGGGGGTGATGTTGGGTTTGGAGATGGCACGGAGGGTCTGACACTGCCCGGGAGAGAGGGGCGACAAAAGAAGAGCGGGGCAAGGGGATAGGTTAGGGTGGGCTTGGCCAGGTGAAGCTGAAGGTAAAGGTAAAGCAAGGGTGAGAGTAATGTGACGCATGCAAGAGGTCCTGCAGAAAATCTGAAGCCAACAAGGGGAGGGAAGAGGAGGGGAGGGTTGGCACAAGCACACAAAACACACACACACACATATGTGAACCAGCAGACCAAAAACGGACCTGCGGTGTAATGTCGAAGTGATGTTTTAAACGCGCCTTTAAACGGCTATTGTACAGAAGACGGGTTCGAAAGTGAAGTACGAGGTACGGCATGATGTACGGCGCCCCAAGGATGAAACATGTTTGCTAAACTAGGCAGCTGATCGAAAGGGCACTCGTTGCTCTGACCGCAACCGACCCGCACCACTCTGACCCCGAAGATCAAGGAAAAGACAGAACGTACGAGCCGCCACAACACCCGCACACCCGCAGCCGCAGCCACTGCCATGGCAACTTACCGTGCCCTCCCGCGTCGCCGTACCAAACGCCCAGCCCGGCGCGCGCTTTGCCAGCCCTGTATTCGAGAGTTCGCCGTAGCGCTCCGGACCCACATACACCAACGGCGGGTGGCAATCTGCGCCGCCTCCCCCTGCCCCCCCCCGCCCCTGCCCCTGTGGCCGCTGCTGCTGCTGTTGTTGGCTGTAGTTCTGGGACTGGGTTTCCCTAGGTCGTGGAGGTAGTCCGGGGACTCTCATGACAGTCCGCTCCTGTGCACGGTGGTGCGGCAGACAGGATTGACTCAGCACACCAGTTGGATGTCAGTTGGATGTCAGTTGGATGTCAGTTGGATGTCAGTTGGGTGTCAGTTGGGTTTCAGTTGGATGTCACTTAGGCACCAGCAAGAGGGCAACGGGGAGGCGGGGGGCGGAGCTAGGGTTTCAGGGCTCACTCATCCCCCCCGCCCGGGTTGCGGGAAGGGGTTAGGGGCACCCGGGGGTGGCTATCTAGGAATGTGCCTGTGTCCGGGAGTTCGACAAGGCTGGAGGGGTGAGGAGCCCGAGGGGGAGGGGGGAAGGGGGAGAACGGGGGGGAGTACGACGAAGCACAGACGATTGACGAGAACAAGGAAAAACCATAGACGGATACGGCGGAGGGGGGACCGGCAAACGGTAGGACTTGAGAAGAGAGTTTTACGGACCGGACTGACAGGATGTGTGAGGAACGGGATCCCCCTCGGCGGTTTTCAGAAAGTGGGGGAGGGTCCGGGTCCCGGGCCGGAAAAGAGGTAGAGGCGGCCCAGGGCCCAGGGACCGAGGGGGCCCCCCGGCCGGGGGCGAGCTACTCGGCTTTACAACACAAGACCCTACCACACAAATAATGCCGTACACGCCACACCTGCAGCATTCGTACGGCGTTGAGTTCGTCGTACTCGGGTTCATCGGGAAAGACCGAGCTGGCGGGGCCGTTTGGACCCTGAAGCGGTTTGCGAGGAGGCCGGATACATATGCCGTATTTTATGCGAAGACGTACGTTAAGATTTGGACTTGGTACATAAAAATGAGAAACACAAGTGATACTCCGGAGCAGATTATGCGGAAAGAAAGTGTGCGCGAGACGCGGCTGGCCGGGGCGAGTTGATCACTGGGGTGATATCGCCCGGAAGGCCCCAGCCTCACCCTGCGCTTCCCCCCTCCCCCGTGACATGCCCCCTTCCCGCTGCGTGAGGACCACCAGATAGCTGGAGAAGCGGCCGACTACCTCCCTCCCCCTCCATGACCCCCCACCATGCTAATCAGGCTAACCTCTCTCCCCCCCTTCTATCCGCGCCACAAACACCCCCCGGCCACTCACGTAGTATCCCTGGTGTACGGCGCTGGCAGGGGGTGACCTTGCCGGGGGTGCTGATGTGGGTCGGGGGGTGGTACGGCTCCAGTCGGGGGTCCGGGTAAGGGAGGAGTGACCTGGAAGCGAGTGAGGGGGGCATCACGTGAAGGCGGGGGGGGGATGTATCAAAGGGGGTGGGGTGGAAATCATAATCAAGGTATCTAGGAAACAAGGAATGAATTGCCGCCGTCCAAAGTCCGAAGAAACTGCCCCGAGTGAGTCCAAAAAGTCACTGACCCGTGGTTCCGGAAGTAAAGTCCCATGACGTTACCGGCAGTTTATGGGGTTTATGGGGGGGCGCGGAAAAGGGAAATAATATCGCAAGGAAGTCAGAAATGAACTGCAGGCCTACCTCAACCCCCCAACATCCGAAAGCTCCGGATCCATAGCAGGGGCCCGTTTGCCCTCAAGCAGCCCGCCCAAACGGTTGCTCCTAAACCCCAACCAACAAACCGACAAACCAACCAGCAAGCCAGCTCCCGCTATCCTTGTACCGCTAACCCACCAGAACAAGTCGGATCTCCCCATGGGGGACTTCCTCTCCCACCCCCAAAACCCCGCCGCCAGGGTGGGCGGCCTACTCACCAGCCTGAACGTGTCGTCCCGTGTTTGTGCCGGGTATTTGTTTGCCGTACGTTCCGGGACCCACCGTGGGTCCCGTCTCCCCCAGCGTTGTGTTCGAGAGCTGGCGTTGGGACTGAGTCCGGAAGGCGGAAGACGGTCGTGGGGTTTTGCGGGTGAGGCTGTAAAGGGGGGGGGAGAGAAAGGGGGAGGGAGGGAGGGAAGCAATAAAATGGGCCTCCCCGCCCGACGTCGAGGTTCAGGGGGCCAGGACAGGAAACCGCAAACCCACTTAAAAATCGGCACCACTGTTTCCTCTCCTCCACTCTCCCTCATTCACACTCACAAAGACATCACAGAGAGAGACACCGGCAGGGTGTGTGTGTGTGAGAGTGTGTGTGTGTGTGTTTGTGTGTGTGTGTGTATGTGTGTGTGTGTGTGTGTGTTTTGGTAGAGGGAGAAAGAGCACCAGCGGGCCGAGGAAGACGGGTTCCCGGACAGGCATCAGGTGGTGGGGCCGGTGTGGACTCGGAGCCGCGTGTGTTGGGGGGTATGCGTCCGTGTGTATGTGAAAATCGAATGAGCTTAGTTAAAATAAGCTAAATAATTTTATTATATGAATTGTTCCTCTTTTTTGTTGTGTGTGGGGGGAGAGTGTGATACAACGGCCTGTAGGGTGTACATGGCAGGGCAGGCCCCTCTTGCGGTTCAGCTCCTCTCCTCTTCCATTCAATTCTATCATTAGTAATAAAATCTTTGAGGTGATGGACATTTAGCATCAGCATCAGCATCAGCATCAGCATCAGCATCAGCATTGGCATTAACAGTGTGTTCCCTTCGGCAAGCTTCTCCCTAGTTGCCGTGATTGCCGCCCTCCTTACTGCCTATTATATGCTTTGGCATAACCGATGCTCCCGCTTCCTGATTACTTATATATAATCCATAATAAATCACCCGCCAACCACAAAACGGACCGAAAACCGAAAACTGAACACGGACAACAGGTTCCGGAGACATCCCCCGTTGTGGCCTTGGTGTCCCTTACCATCCTTCCGCTGCCCCAGCCGCCGCCCCAGCCAAACCCAAAACGTCTCACCTGTCGTACCCCTCCCTGTAGTACTCCCCAAACAGCTGATTCCCAGATATCCCGTCGTACAATGGCTTGCGTTCCGTCGCCTTGAAGGGCTGCGTGCCGGGCGGACCCGTGGGTCGCTGCTGGTGCACTTTGTGAGCCGCGCCAAAGAGCTCCTCGTGGCGGTGGAGGAGTTGGGCTCGGACGTCCAGGGTGAGGCGCGGCGGGCCCCCCTGACTACTTAGACTTCGGGTCAGGCCGTGACGCGACGCGCCCGGCTGTGTGTGCGCCGCCGCCGCCGCCGCCGCCTGCACGTCGCGAGGGACCGACGGGTCGGAACTGTCGTCGGCCATTCGATGCGCCGGTGCAGAAGAAGGCCGGGCGGAGCTGCCGCCGCGGCCTCCAGCCGATGCCGGGGCGGATCCGGGGCGACTACGCCGTACGGCGGAGCCGCTGCTGCTGGCGGCGGCGGCGCCACTATCTGCAACGGACCCCGTTCCGGAATGCGCTGCCTTGCCGAGAAGCGGCGCATGCTGGGCCTTGTCCATTGCGCCGTACTTTGGATTGTACTTACCCAGGGGCGGAACCTCCGAGGGGCCGCGGGAGAGAAAGTGGGAGCCCGTCCTCTGAGCTTGCTCACGTGTGGTCGTTTTGAAGGCGGCGGAGCGGGGCCGCGGCGGCAGGCCGTCACCGCTGCTGTACGATGATGTAGACTCGGTGGCCTGTAGACGGTCTGCCGCCGCTGCCACGACGCCGCTGCCGCGGCCGCCAGCGGCGCCACCACGGCCGGCACCGGCCCGCGCCGCCGCTGCGGCAGCTGCACGCGGCCCAGCAGGCGTTATGCTCTGTTGGATGCCGTACTTCTTCGCAATTTTAGGCGCGACGTACTTCATCGTGGCGGCGTTGGCGGAGCGCTCCACAGATTCCGCCATAACAGGGGGGTGGACCTTAGCGGGCAGGTCAACGCCGGCGGCTGCCATGGCGACAGCGATGCTGGCTGACGGCGGCGGCGGCGTGCGATCTCCCGAGTCGGTGTAATGCGCTCGGGAGGCTTTGCTTTGTGCGGAGGTGGAACCTGAGGGGCTGAGGAGCGAGGGACAAAACCCGAAAAGATGCCGTGTTTTGCCTCTTTTTATGTCCAGAGAAAGACAAACCCTAAGGTCTCGCAGACCCGCCAGGCACATCGGTACGTGATACGGGTATCGTGGGACTTGGAGTTCGTGCATAGTGATTTCCCTGACGTTCGGGCTGAATGGCGACTGATGGTGGTCGCAACGTGGTGGCCCCGGTGTGGTCACATCGCATCCCAGCTTTCACCTGGGGGCCCAATGAATACCCGAATCGAGCTCAGCAAGGGGTACGGCATGATGTGATTCGCCCCGATCAGACCCGATCCAGATCCCGTACGACCAACAGAAGAGTCCGGACGATGCAATCAGTAGGGCTCGCGCGCATGCGCACCGTCCGTGCAGAACGATGTCGTACAGTACCTGTGCTGCACGGACGAGTCCCACTCCTCCTGCTCCAGACGCACTGCTGCGTTGTTAAGGCTGTTTGGACCTACGAACTTGTTGTACATGGCCGTCATTTCCTTATCCGTAAGGTATCGCCCAGTCTGCTGCCGCTCCGACTTGGTAAACAAGGTCCCCGAACTGGAGGTGTGAGCAACGGGCGGAGGCAGGAGTTTCCAACCTCATAGGCTGTAGTTAGGAGTCTATATTATTGGGGTCAGAATAACTAATACTCTGTATTATTAGTGTGGCAATGAAAGGCAAACCAGGTTGCCGCGGTTTGGCGGATGCTCTTACCTGATGCCTGGTCTTGAAACGCAGTGCACAGGTTCCAAAACCTCACGAGAAACCTTCATACACGTTGTTCTCTGCAAATGGCACCCCAAAATGCCGTCTCTGGTGTAAGTGCAAGCTTGGAAAGGGCTACCATGCACTCCATACCTTGGCCTTGCGCCCTTCCGCCAATTCAGCTTCCGTAATGAAAACGTCAACAGGTAGTGGCATTTTCGCAATTACTTAGCTGCGGTTCTGAAGTCTATATTTACAGGCTATGAACGCAAGCCGCGGGTGTGCTGTCTAACGGTTACTACCGATTTTCATTCGAACGATGCATATCAATATGGTCGCTACGCACTCTCCTGTGTCTTCAAGCTGTGTCTACGACGTGACAATTATCGAAGGACAGCGTACTTTGCAACCGCACGGCTTGCCACGAAAGCGTGAGATTCTACTCAGCGCACTGCCTGGCTTGTGCTTTCTGTTTTGTGTCTGGATTCAGTTTTCTACGGAAACTTGCAGATTTGCAAGAATATGTCTTCCGTTATTTCTGGAAGTTGGACAACCGAATGCTGAGGTACAGCATTGCCTGCAGCCCGCCGGCCATGCACTGCGCAACAGCCTGGCGCTGTGGCACAAAAAAGGGAAATCGACAATGATTTTATAATTGATAATTTTGATGAGGTGTTGCGTTAAATACCGAGCCACAGCAATTCCAACCCAAGCACTTGCCCTCGCAACGACACACAGTTCCTGATATAGGCTGCTGCCAGAACCTAGGCCGCAAGATTCTTACCGGATCTTAAGGCCTGGCTGACTGACTAGATTTTTCGCATCACACCACAAACTCACGTCTTCCACACGCGCTCACAGGGCCCTAACTTCGGGACCCCCTCCACCACCAGACGAATGCGGTACCCACGACTTCAGGAAGCCACGCAGACGGCTCCCAGATCCTCGCTCCAGCCACGCAGCCGCGGCCTCCAGCCCTGCGCCCTGCCCCTTACAAACAACCCTTAACTAACGGTGCATCTCGCAAAAAGCAGCACCCCACATGTTCCGGGCTCACAAACCAAACACATGCGAACGGCGGTCACTGCACTGTTGCAATTTGACCGGCCTGAGCAGGCTAGGCCAGGCCTCTTCCAGTGCTGCGCCGCTGCAGTCACTGCTAAAAAAGCTTTGAAATCCGCATCCGCACCCAAGTTCTACGCATTATGAGACACAGGAAAGCTGTCCATCACCAGCTCGCGCCTAGCCTCGGTGGGTGCGGGGACCCGCCCCCACTCTCCCCACTATCCGCACGCACTGCCGCACGCTCATCTCCCCCTCTGACACCGCCACTACATTGGGCAGCACCGCTCACGTGTGCCGAACCGGGACCCCCGCCTCGCCCCGCCCCAGACCCGCCGCAGCTCGGGGGCCTAGCTACTGCGCAGACGTAGCTCCCCTTCCTCCTTTCCCGTCGCGGCGGCTACACGCCTGCAGCGGGCGGCTACGCCACAGCTACCGCAGTCGCCACGGCAGTCGCCTCTCAGCTGAAGCTGAACAGCCGCAGCGCCAGCATGGTTTGAGCGAGTGTGGCGGTAAAGAGTGGTGATGTGGTTCTCGCCAGCTCCAGACCCTCCGCGGAGGCACACAGCCTCAGGGCCAGGGGATTGTCCGCGGCTCCCGGCACCACGAACTGCCCGCGGAGCAACGATAGCACGCTGGCGTGGACCTGTCGTCGCGGGACGGACGGGTGGGAAGTCCCGGGATCGGCCCGCCGCGTGGAGGCGATGATGGCGGGCCGGCCCACACAGGAGCATGGCGCAGTTCAGTAAAAACAATGTGTAACACTGGGGGGGGGAAGGTGTGTTTGGGGGGATGTTGGAGAAGTGGTGGATGAATGCATGAGTGCGAGACGTGTGGTGTGGTGGTAACTGCTGGTACTTGGAGAGGCGAGGAGTGTATGAAGAGTGCACAAGTCAGTCGGGGGTTGTTCTGTTGGGGGTCAGTCGGGGGTTGTTCTGTTCTTCACGATGGGGGGGTCAGGGGGAAGGAACCGGAACCTGGGGGGAGAACGAGCACCGCCTCTTTTTTTGATGATTGAAGTGGGTTCACGCAGGACCGCAACTTAGGGGAGTAGTAGCACTCCCTCCCTCCCCTCCCGCCGGGTGGCGAGTATTCTCGCGGCACCCATGTGCGGGAGGGTGAGGAGGCGGAGGCGGAGCCAAGGGAAGGGAGAGGGTCAGCGTTAGGCTGATGTCTGTGTCTCCCCGCTCTTTATTGTATACTGTTCCACTCTTACTCTCTCAGGACATCTCGTCCAATCGCCCACCCATGGCCCCAACCGGGGCAGCTCCCCGAAGCGCACCTCCCCAAAGATGGTTTCCCCGCACGCCTTGACCGCCTCCACGCTCTCCACGCCGGGCAGTCTGGGGTACTCCTCGCGCTTGTCCAGTGCGTCGGAGAATGCCACACCCTTGGCACCCTGTTGGGGGTGACGGCGTGGATGGTATAACAGGTAGAACACGTATAACTTGAACACGGATACTTTACATGGAACCCAAACAAAGGCTATTGTTTCAAGGCAGGCATGTAGACCATGTTTGCCTGTCGACCACTTGGGCAGCCACCGCCACCACAAACCAATCTTGGAGTCAAAACGCGATTGGAGGCGGAATTGAGGTCAAGCAGTACGCAGGGGCAAAGGCTGCGAGCGCGCGCCAACCCAACCCCTCACCTCACCTCACACATGCCCCGGCGTTTTTACTTGCTCAAAACCTCTTCATCCCCTTGCCCCGCATTTCGCCCCGTCCCTACCCAGCACCCACCCGTCGCATCACCGCCAGCACTCTCCGCTCGCCGTCCTCCTTCTCCTTAGTAAAGATTCTTGCCACGTGCTGCGGCTGCGTGCGGCCGCCCTCCTCCCAGTCCACCACCTCGGACAGCCGGGCCAGGGCCTCATCCGGTTCCGCGGTCTGATTCCAGCGTGAAGAGGCCAGCAGGAATACACCCCTGCAAAGTGTATTGGGTCGTGGTTGTGGCGGTAGTGAGGGTGGGGCCTCCGGGGTGTTGGAGGGTTGTGTTGGGAGTAGTAGTTTGGAATGCAAAGCTGGCTAATGCAAAGCTCCAGGACGTCTGTCCTTATGGCTGCATCACCCACGCGGAGCACCAACAGCTAACCTCCTCTTCTTTTTTGCGGGGAGGGAAGGGTTTGGATAGGTTGATTGGTTGAGGGACACGGCAGGTGGTGTCTGTTTTGTGCCACCTCCACGCCCTGATACCTTCCCTACGTCTGCCCTCTTTCCCCCTCCCCCAAAGCATACCTACGCGTCCAGACCAGACCACAATCCGATATCCAAGTGCCGCTGCCTGCCAGAATCCTGAGCGCACTACCCCCCTAAACAACAACCCTTCGGGGTTATTCGCCACCATCGTCGCCGGGTGTATACGGCCCGCGGGTGTAGCCCTCCCCTGCCGCAGCCCCGCCTGACGTGTTCTAGAGGGAGCGCGTCTCACCCCAGCAGCGCCAGGTCCTTGCACATGGCTTCCTCCGTGGCCCGCTCCTTGGCTTTCACCCCAGCTGCTGGCGCGTCTCGGTCCTCGGGCAGCAGGTGCAACCCGCGGTCGGAGAGAGCCTGGTGGGGGAGTGGGCGGGAGGGGGGATGGTGGGCGGGAGGCGTTCCGTAAATCACAAAAGCCAAAGAGACCAGTGCCGACGGCCGTAGGGTTGGGGTGGGAGGGGAAGACGAACCACAGACGAGTGATTCTGATACCATAGATAGACAGATAGATAGGGGGTGGGAGATGAGTAAAAAGCGCGGGGAAAAGTGGGGTTTAGGGGAAAAGGAACAAGCGGAACGTGATAGGCCTCGCACTCTACGCGAAAGTGCGGTACATACGGTGATTCATCAGTACCGGTTTTGACAACCCACTTAATCCTCCCTCCCCCCTCCCCCCTTCCCACCCTCCTCCCTCCCTCCCTCTTCCCTACCTGCAGGAGGTCCAGTGGCGGCATGGCCACCCCGCGCAGGGACTGCAGCTGGGGCCAGCTAGGGGAGCTCAAAGTGGCGGTGCGGGTGGACACCTGCGGGCAGTCAAAACACACACCATAACCACCACACCACCACGCCACCACCACCACGCAGACCAACACAGGGGCCCGAGCCGATGGGGTGAGGGGGTCTCGCGGACCAAGCAAAGAGAGGAAGGAACGCTGGGATGGGAAGGAGGGGTTGCACGGGGAAAGGGTCCTTGGAGTCGTGGGGGGCCGAAGCCAAAGTGAAACGACTGTCGACGTCCAAGGATGCAAGCTGCTGCGTGCAAGGCCCCATGGCACAAACAGAAGGCCTCCACAAAAAACAAAACGAGCGTCTTCCCAAGCTGACAGCCGAACACCACCCCAACAGGACACCACTGCGGTAGCATTATATGCCACCAAGCCACGAGTGCCATTATATCGACCAGACCTAGAGGCAGCGGCAGGTGCCGCCCGCATCCCCCCCCCGGCCGCAGCTCAAACAAAAAACACACACAACTGGAAAAATCCTCACAGCGAACAAACACATCCACACCTAAAAAAAGGCATCCACACTTCCTCAAGGTAGATGTCCAGGGTCCAACAAGTAAAGAAGGCGTCTTTTCCGGGACCCGGGCGGGGGGATAGGAACAGGGCGGAGGACTAATCGGTAATGGTCAGGGGCCCACGCGCACCTCAATCACGATGGGATCCTCGAGACCGCAGTCCAAGGTGATGGCGGCGCTGCTGCCGTTACGACCACCCGTGGGCCGCACATTCCAGCCCTTGTACGGCAATAGCCGCGTACGGGACATGACGAGCGCCAGTGGCGCCAGGTGAGTCGTGTGGAAGGAGACGTAGTTGGTGGCCGGATCGTACGACACGTTGCTACAGCACCGAGGAGGCGTGGGAGGCGGGTTAAGTACGCCACGTCAAACTCCGGTAAGATACCTAGAGATGGGTAGTAGTCGCCAGCTCAGGGGCAGGTGAGGGGCTGCTTCCTTGAAATCGACTGGTGAGAGGGACATGCGGTGGGGTTTCTAGCTACTTCTTGGCTATTTACCGCCTGGTTTGGGGTTTTGGAGGCTGGTGATCAAGGCAGGGGGGGAGTTAAGTGGGTCTTACACATCGCCCAGAGCGGCACTGTCCACTCGGGGTTGGGAGTTAAGCCTTGACCCGGGTTTGGCCCTGGGTACGTGTTGCCCTGCAAGGTCCCTTCAAGGTCGTACATCAGGAATCGGCCCTCCCTGGATCTTCTTCAAGGCTGGCCGCCTCCCCCCCCCGTACCTGATTCCATCCACGTTCCAGATCTGGTGCGGCTCGTCCCACCAAGCCACCTGCAGCGGCTCCTGCGGTAGCAGAGAGAGGGAGGGGGAGAGGGGGAGATACAGAGAGGGGGAAGTTAGGGGTAATTGATTGACCTGCAAAAGCCGAAGGAACAGCGACTCCCGGAGTCCAAGGCAAGGGGGAGGGGGGAAGGGGAGTGACGGGCCGCACGCGCCCGGGAAGGGGACGTTTGAGGAGAGAGGAACCAACCGTCAACGAACTCCCGGGTAGGGCACTCCATCCTTCTGTCTAATCACCAGCAGCAGAGCAACACCACCGAAAACCCAAATGAACTAGTAAGTATTGTCAGAACTAAGCAGGAATGGAAGCTTGGTGTTGTGTCCGCGGTCCAGAGCACCACCGTGCGCCATGTGCTTGGGGCGCAGACAACGTGTCGTATAACGTCATTAAGGATGTGGTGAGGGGAATTAGAGAAGCGGGGTGTTGCAGTACGCTAGCATCCGTACGGCACCTGCAATAGTACGACATCCGGCGGTAGCGGCGCCGTGACACCCATGGGCGGGGGCTCCTCCTCGCTCTGCCACGTCAGCGGATCCGCGCCGGCGGGCGGGATGGGGTACGGCACTCGCTGTACGTTGGAGGCCAGGGCCGTGACCTGGCGCAGCGTCCAGCCGCGAACCTGGAAGGGCACATGTGTGTGTAGTACAGAATTGAGCGCGATGATTGTGTACGTACGTGTCTGTCTGTCTGTCTGTCTGTCTGTCTGTCTGTCTGTATGCGTGTGTGTCTGTCTGTCTATCTGTCTGTCTGTCTGTATGCATGTATGTATGCATGTATGTGTTGAATGTGAATCAGTTTAGAAGGTAAATTTGCTTACGTCAAGACGCAAGCGACTTTAGCAATATACGGTTCCTATCACCCCCACAACTCCCAGAACTCCCAGCTACCTTTTTTGCCCCCGGCGGCAGCGCCAGCAGGTCTACCACCAGCACTCCTCCCACCGCCATCCACTGGTTGCCACACCGCCAGAAGAACTCATCCGCTGCCGGGCCGCTGCGGTGTTGCACCCTCAGCGCCACGTTGGCCAGCGCGATCTGCTTGGGGATATCCAGAGTCACATCCAGCTGCGGCATCTCCACAACCTGGACGTGGGTTCGAGCCGCGGCGGGGGCGGTGGTATCGGAGGTCGTGGCGGTGGTATCGGTGGTCAGAATGGCGATGTGCGACTACTGTCATTTCTTATCGCACTTTACATAGCAATTTCTAGGGATAAGGCCGGCAACGCTTCTGGTACGTTACCGCGTCCCCAGTTGGAGTTGGCAGGGCCCGCACCCCGCGCAATAGCCAAACCCGGGTTTCAGCCCCAGTGGTGTTGCGAGTGAGACACGAAGGGAGAGGGAGACAGGCAGACATACAGATGCGCAAACGCGCTGTCCCATGCTGGCCCCTTTTCGCCACCATCGTCCTGCCCTTGCCAATCCGTATTATTATTGGCGCTGCAGGCGACGGCTGCATGCGGCATCTCACCCGCACTTCCCCGCCCTCCTCACCCTCCACCCCCACCCGTACCTTGAGTCGGGGGTTCTTTGCTGTGTTGACCCACACGCCCCACTTGAATGTCCCCGCCACGTGGCCCAGCTGGATTTCGTTGCGCTCGTTGGCGTACTCGTCACAGTGCTGCCGAGATACAGTGTAGCCAGGATGGAGAAGAATTCGGAGAGAAGGATTCGGAAAAGGGTACGTAATAAAGAATCAGAAAATTTAGACGTTTGGACATATACATCAGTAATAGCATTAACAGCGGAATACCATTAACAGAATGGCAAAAGCAAGGATGGACAAGGATCCCACGGGAAAGCCCAAGGCTGCCCAGCCTTTTTCGACACAACCTTCTCCCTCGTCTCTAAGCGAAACACGACAGCCCCCAAAGGCAGAGGGCCCCCCCAACTCTTGCCGTTGCAATAACAAATCGATCTTTACGCACACTTTTCCCTCACGCCATCCAGTACGGCACCGCCCCGGCCGCGACTCTCACGTGCAGTACGGCAGCCGTGAAGCGGTCAATCCGCGCATTGATGATGGCGTACAGCTCCCTGATGTCGGACTCCAGCGCCTGGGTCCAGTCCATGGGGGTGGCACGGACCTTGCGTGAGGCCTCCTCCTCGGGGCCACCAGAACCCACCACACGGTTCCGCGTCTCCAAAAGTGCCTGGCGCGTCTCCAGGACCATTGTACGGCAGTCCTGTACGGAGAAATGTACGACAACACAAAGCCTGGCTTCAGGTGAGGTAGACGAATGTGAGATAGGTGAGATCGGAGAATGGCTTTTGCATGCGTGTGTGTCTTTTGCAGACGTACGAATGGGATGCCCCTGGGCTGTGCGTTTGGAGGAGTTATCAATTTGCGATGCGAGCAATCCTACCATCACCCTAAGACCCCCCCCGATTAACAAGCCAACCAACTCCACACCCACCCGCCCACCCAGCTATCCCTTTTGCTCCCGGGCCCCTACCTGTGTCCCTACCGGGGCCCTGCGTGTCCGATTCCTGAACCACCTTCACATCCCCAACCCCCCCCCCACGCATACACCCCACAGACAGACAGACAGTCAGACGAGACAGACACCTCGCAGGTCAGGAACGCCTCCTCCAAGCTCCGGCTGTCCTCCTCCCGGGAGCTCTCATTCATTCGTAACAGGAACTCATTGACCTCCACACGTTGTCGTGGAGCAGGCACTCGCACACAGCGCAGGAAACGCTCCCACTCGGCAGCCTCCAGCGCCTCGTTGCGACTGCGAACACGTTCGTGCTCAAACTGACGAAACAGCGGACCCAGCTCATCTCTGTAAGTCACAGACCCAGGAGCGCGGGAGAGAAGAGGGGGATTCAAATTGGGTGCTCTGCTTTACCTTCAAATGCTGAACTGGGCCGGTGAGGTCGAGTGTTTTTTTAAGAAGGGTTAAGAGCGGCAAGGGCGGTAAGTAACCATTCCGTTTTCCACTGGCCCGCCTCGTCGTGTGCCACCGCTGACACCGGGCGCACCGGCACCAAGGCGGTGAAATGAGGGGGGCATCTGCGGGGGGCCAACAGCATCAACCTTTACGTCCGAGGACCACCTCCGCTCGGCATCCAGGGCGGTGTGATCCCGGTTTCCCGCCTCCGGTTGCCGAGCTCCTGATTGCCATCCGTATGGGACCCGCTCCCCTCCTGTCCTCGCTTCTCCCTGGAGCCGCCTTCCTGGTCGGGTCGCCTACTGTGCCAACTAATTAGAGGGTTTGGCAATGCACGCCGAAAGCCTAGGGCCTAGTGCCTAGGGCCTACTCACAGCTCTACATCCAGTCGGGCCCGCTCCGCAGCTAGGAACTGCTCCAGCAGCTCCAAACGCTGCCGCTCGAGCTCGGCGAGTCGCTGTCGCTCCGCCTCCTCGGCACGTAGGCGCTCTGGGGAGAGGGGTCGGGCCGAAAGGGTGGGAAGGGCGGAGGAAGGACGGGATGGGGAAAGGGTGCGGAGAGAGGGTTGCAGGGTTTGCAGTGTGGGAAGGGGAGGAAAGGAGGAGTGTGGGAAGGCAGTCGCCACGGGTGGAGGATGGGTAGGAGCGGGCTATCGCGGGGGTCGAGGTGTTGACGGGATGGCGGGGGTGGCTGGAGGAGGTGGAGGACTGCAGGAAGGGGGAATGGGATTATACGGACGGGAGGAGGCGCAAGGGGTCTCTGCTGTCCGCTTTTAGAGTTTGTATTTGATAATGGTTGGGAGTATGTGGATGGGGAGTGTGTAATGTGGATGCGTTGTGCGCGATATGGGGGTAGTATGGGACCGGAGAGCTAGGTGGTGTACGCAATACTCCACTTGCGTTCTGTACCCTTGTAACCGTGCCTATCGGACAACCTGGAACCTACGATGCAGTATAAGTCGGTTAACATTTCCGGTGGCCTATGCTTCGTGCGGCTGGTCAAGGGTACGGCCATGGGATGCCTGTATGCCTGTCGCAGGAATGCCTGGTAGGTAGCGAAGCGGGGAACTATTTATATGCAAAGGATATTGATTCTTGGGGATCATGCTTCGCAATCTTGCCAATTAGATGTTCTTTTTATCAGGAGTGGCCAACGACACATGGACCGCCACTCTGACCTTCCTCCGCTAGTCGAGCTGCTTCCTCTGCCAAGCGTCGTTCCTCCTCCAATTCTTCCTTTGTCTTCTTCTTCCTCTTTCCCTTGCCCGCTGGCTTGGGGGCCATTTTTGTGCGCGCGGCCTCCGAAGGCTGTGATAGTAGTATATACAGAAACTATTTTGATATCAAGGAACAAGGTGGTAAAAGTAGATAATGATTGAGTTCGTTACTTTATCACCATCCTTCGAACCTGCCCACTTCGATAGTTGCTCACAGTACGCCTATTATGGCGCTATGTATTAAATTCAATTGTCTTTTGGCTAAGTCCACACTGGAAGTCTCAAGCTGACGAAGGTTACCCTTCTTTGCTCCGGGACCATCAACGACTTCTCTTACGAAGCTCACAAAGCATGAAAATGTAAGCATTTTTCGTTCAGAAATCATCACGAAGGAAAAGTGTGTGAGGTTAACAACAATCGAGAGCAAGCGACAGTTAATCGATACATTCGAGAAAGCCTGCTTGCGTGTGCGTCAAAAATCGGCCTCGTCGAGGCAAGAGGCGATCATGACAGACGCTTATGAAGATCTTTTCATTTCTCAAGAAGGGCAAAACGCGCCTGGTGGAGCTTCATTTGACGTTCACAGGGACGATTCCCATGCCCAAGCTCAGCATGTGCAAAGCAACATAAGACGTGATCAACGGTATCATCATACAGATACTGCTGAGCAACGGAGGAAGGTAATCTGCATTCGGTGGATTGCATGATGGGTCCTGTCTGGCAGTTTGCAGCTCCCGGTTGGCGTCCTGCACAACGATGCAACAGTACAGGCAGCGCTTGCCACATCACCGTCGCTAAAGATGTAACGTGCTTTCTAATCCTTTATATCGCTCTGCCCTGTCGCTGTGGGTCTCCCGAGCACAACTGCGAAGCCCTAGCTATCGGCAAACGTAACCGCACACAGGCGATTGGTCACACAGAAATCCCTAGCGCCATACTATGACAGATGCTGACTCCTGATCATCACTGGAACCCTGGAAATGATTCCTTCATGTCGTGCATTGATGCCCCAAAGGATTTCCGCGCGTGGCTGCTGCACCGCGCTCGCCACAGCAGTGGAGGCACCCAGAAGGCTGCGGAGCGCGCTGCTGCTGAGGAACGCCGGGCTAGGCGTTTGGAGCAACTGCAGGTAGCCTTAGGCTTTGTGTGTAATCGAGATCTTGATGTATTGGTGCAGCTTGCAGCCTACCAGTAGTGCGGCGCCGAAGGCGCCGCCATAAGTTTCGTCACTCACAAATTCATGTCTCTATTTTTGTGGCCCATCCGAATATGTTAAAAGGAACGGAAAGCATGTTGGGTACGCGCGTCAATCGTCTGAACCGTAAGCTATGAAAATCTAGGACTACTGAAAACCTGAAATATTGGAAGGTGGGGTGCAGCATCGCTGCAGCTGTCACTTTGAAATGGGTTCGGATCCAATACCTCAGATCGAGTTTGATCGATAGGGATGCGGGCACGAGGGGCGCGCTGGCTGACATTTCATGGCAGAAATGCACAAACGGGATGTAGTTTCTCTCCTTATCCGTTTGGTTTTTCGCTGATCGATCAGTAGCCTTCAGCAATAATTGGCAACCTGCGTGCATCAGCAGCCGTTGCTTTGCATATCGGCCAGGCATCTGCTGTTGCTTCGCAACCTTCTACTATTTCCTAGCGCGTCCAGGCTCGTGGATATACGGCTGCAGCAATCGTGCTGGTGGGCTTTGGCGATGTGACCCATGGGTCGGTCGAAGCGATACTCAGATATAGGCGCATTTACACTGGCTTGGAATCGAATAAACAAACGCGCTCTTCAACTTTTTATTTGCTCATTCTCAAAGTGAACTTTCTCCTCGCTCTGCATTGTTTTGGTTATCGCCCGGCCGTCGCGGCTAAAATTGCGGAAAGAAGCCGCAGTCATCATCAACTCGACACTGGGTACTCTCTGCAGTTCTCAGCAAAATTATCTAAACGACGCGGCACCTGACACGATTCCACCTGACAGTTTTCCTGCCCATCTGCTGCAAGCACCCCCCCCCATTCCGCCCCCCGCACCACACACACGCTTCATCCAACCCCACCCCATACCACACACACACACACACACACACACAGACACGTGCGTACTATTTGCGGATCAAATCGTTGAAACGGACATTTCCATTTCGCCTATTGCGATGATGATTCTGTCCAGCTGCCCTAATTCGTAAGCACGGGGCCACATGCGTGCAGGCTCGCCTGGCGGCGGCTGAGGTCAACCGCGCCACCTCACTGGCCCAGCTACAGCGCCGTGTCGCCGCGACCAGTCAGCGGCGAGAAGACGCGGCGGAGCGGGCGGCAGCGGCGGCTGCGGAGCGCGCCAGTGTCGCGGCCGAGCGCCTGGAGGCTGAGCTCGCGGCGGCTGAGAGCCGGCGAGAAGCCCTGCGCGGCGCTGAGTTGGAGCGGCTGCGGGCTGAGCACGAGCTGGTGCTGAGCAGACTGGTGGGTGGCTGGGGGTGGACGAGCGCTGTGGGGTGCGGATGGTGTTTTACGAGGAGGATGAGGAGGAGGATGATGAGGAGAAATCTCCTGAGGCCCTGACGGCATGGCGTCATGGTGGAGTGTGTCATAACTGCGAACCTGCATGTCCACAATAATGATGGATTGTGTGTGTGTGTGTGAGAGAGGAGGGGGGGGGGAGTTGGTGCTGTTGTGATTCGGAAGTTGGGACACGGGTGTTTGTTTGTTGGCCTTTCAGAAGTTCGTTCAGACGGGTGCTAGGGTTGTCAGGTTTGTTCTCCGAACAGAAAGGAAGGGAAGGCGCGGAAAGGGGAAAGGAGGAACAGAACTTAGAACTTATTTTAAATCGTTCGCAGTCATTTGCAGCCAATCGAAGCTGTGGTAGCCAGGCCGCGATGACCTGCTGGCCGACCCGACCCGCACCGCAGGTCAGCAGTCAGGAGCGGGCGGCGGCGGGTGCGGAGCAGCAGCGCAGTCGTCTGGAGGCTCGGCTTCGGAGCGCCGCCAGCGAGCGAGAGGCCCGGCTAGCCAGGAGGGCCGCTCGGGCGGGTAGCAAGGTGGGAGAGTGCGTCTGTCTGCATGTATGCATGTCTGTAAGCGTACATATATGAAGTGTGATAAGGGTGGCTGGCCGGCAAGGAGGGATCCCCCCCACAGGTTGGGGGTTTAGTGGGGGAGGCGGATGGCGTAATGGAGGCGCAAGAGTCGATGGTGGGTGCAAGCTTGTTAGGATGTGACAGGTATAGAAATGGAGCTGCAACGACTCCGGCGATATATGTATTCATGGTATATGGCGCAGAACCTGTCTGACAGTGTCACCTGGCTCTTCCGGCTTCCGGCGGCGAGCAGGTGGAGCGAGCCCGCGCGCGGGGTGCGCAGACCCGGGAGATGCAGCAGCAGGAGATCGAGTCGCGGCGGCAGGTGTGCGGTGACTCCGGGCGGGGCGTTGTGTTGGGGACTGGTGAGGCTGGGTGGTGAGACCTGCCTCTTAGTCTTTAGCCGCCCCACGGAGAGGGGTGGTGGGGGAGAGGTGGGAGTGTGTGTGTGTGGGGGGGAGGAGGTTATAGGCAGCCATTAGAACCTGGCACAGACAGACAGAGAGAGAGACAGACAGACAGACAGACAGAGAGAGACACAGACAGACAGACAGCCACGGCAGCTTAAACTTGATTGGGTCCGTCCCTCATGTCCGCAACACTCCCCCTCCCCTGCACACCTGGCCTCCCCCGCCTGGTGCCTTTTCCCATGTCGTCCGCCTCCCTTCATCACGCATATCGGTGACACAGGCGCTAGAGCAGAAGCTGGAGACGGCTCGCAGGCGGCGACAGGACCTACGGCCGCTGCCTGCCGCCGCGGTGGGTGTGACGGCGGCAGCGATTGATTCGCCCCAAGGCACAACCTCGCCTTCCGCTGCCTCCCAGTCTTTGCAATCGAAGAGCCCCTCTCCGTCGCTGCCCTCGTCGCCGATCCGTAGCCCGCAGCGGTCGCGGGCTGCCGCTGGCGGCGGCGGTGACGCGGCCCCACGTGACCTGGTTGTTGCCGTACCGTCTGAAAGTCACAGCGACGACGGGGGTAGCAGCGACGATGCTACTGCCACTGCAGCCATAATGGCCACGTCAGAAACAGACATACTGGAGGCGATGGTGGCGGACATCTCGACGGCGGCTTCGGAGGGCAGCGGCGGCGCTGCCGCCGTCGCAGCAGACTCATCAGATGATAGCGGCGGCGCCACCGCCGCCGCCGCCGCAGCAGCGGAGGCGGAGGCGGAGGCGGAAGCGGAGGTGTCTAGTCGTCTTGAGGGCCTCCGTCGATCCATAAGCAGCCGACGGTTGCAGCAGGTCTGGCGCGAGTTCGTACAATCCAAACGCACGACCCGTACGCTGGCGGAGGCTTTTGTTGCTCAGGGCATCACTAATGTACGGCTGCCGGCGGCGCCAATGCCGTCGGAGGCTGCGATGGCGGCGGAGGACGCCGCGGCGCGTGCTGCCGGCGCCGTCGACGTGCCTCGTCGGCCGGGACCGGCGCCGGGGCCAGCTGCGGTGAATACGGCGGCGGTGGTTATCGGTCTGGGCAGTCCCAGCCCCAGGGGCTCCGCCGCCGCTGCCGCCATGGCGCGCATGGAGCCACAGGGCCACTCGCAAGGCGACGAGGGCGGTGACGGCTTCGACCGCTTCGCATCGGCGCTTCGGTCGCCAACAACGCTCAAGGCAACGCAGGTACGCGTACTGCAGCTCCATCTAATCGTATTCTTCAATTTTGTCATGTCCAGTATGTGCGGGTGTGTCTCCGATTACAGGGGCATGTACTCGCACTGCGGGGTATTTCCCCCCCCCCTCCTGCTTTCTCCCCTTCCTTTCCCGGTACGGCTTGCTGTGCTGTGTGGTAACCCTTCCGTAGCGTACTCTCTTCAAAAATCCGAACATTATTTTCCTGGCCCGCGGCTCCCACACCCGCCACCACTGCCACCGCCGCCACACCCGCCACCACTGCCACCGCCGCCACACCCGCCACCCACCGGCTGCACCTGTAGGCTCTCATGCGGCGGCTGGAGCAACGCCTGGAGGCTCGCCTAGCAGTGCCGTCGTCATTGAGCGGTTCCAAAAGCCAACACAGCAACCAGGGCCCTAGCCAGGTGCAGTGTTCGAGTCCGGATGGGAGCACGAGCCAGAGCCCTGCCGCTACCAGCGTCAGTCGCTTGCTGCGGCTCCTGTACCCGACCGCCCCGCGTAACGCCACCCTGGAGCGATATCCGCCGCGGGTGCTGCTTTGCGCCTTCATGATTGTACGGCATCCGGAGGTGGTGTTCTCGGGGTCAGGTGCGTCTGTATGTGCGTCTCTACCGTCTTTACCACCAACATCAACTCCTACCACCGACATTATACAAATCCTCTAGAGCCCTGAACCCCACCCAGCCAGCCCTCTGACCTTTGTTGTGATCCGGAAATCAGTATATTCCAAGAAAAAACCCCAAGCCTCTGCGGCACCGTCCCCTTCCCCACCCCGCGCTCTCTTCCCACGCACGTGTACCCCCCCGCCGTACATAAGGCCCCCGAGAGGTCGCACTGGCCGCCGCCGCGCGAGACCTGGTGGACAGATTTGAGACTCTCCTGGAGCGGATTATTTTTGCGCCGGCGGAGGTGCCGCCGGCGGCGGCGGCGGCGGCGGCGGCGCCGGAACCTGCGGGTCCGCTGCCGTGGTCATCCCCCCCTACCTACGTGGCCGCGTCGCCTGTCGCCCGGGGAATGGAGGAGCTGATCCGGCGGCAGAGAGCGACAGCGGCGGCGGCGGTGCTGGGCGGCGGCGGCAGCTTTGGCCTGCTGCCGCCGACATCGCCCTCCGGGTCATCGTCGCCGTACATGACCATAGGTACGCACGTGTGATTTTGGCGGTACGACCTCCCCGGCGGTCGGCTGGCCAGCCGGCATGTGTACGGACAGACGTACATGGGACCTCCCGGTTCCGTGGTTTGGCAGTGCAGTACAGTACGTGATACACCGTGTCTTGGCGTGCGGGATGACCTGGACGTCACAGCGGGACCTACCTACCTGACATCCGGAAAATTTGATCCCACCTTTCCTTCACCCGGAGACCCATCCTGGTCGACGCTTTGCTTCTCGCATATGATCCCCCCCGCTTTTGCTCCCTTTCCCGCTGTCCCTCTCCCTCTTTCCCTCCCTTCTGCTTCTTGTACACTCTTTTCCTTGGCAGCACTTCACTCGTTCGTGGTTCATGGTTCGTCTTTCCCCCCACTCCCCGTGCCCCCCTTTCCCCCCTCCCCGCCCCATCCTTGACTCCCTCCCCCCTCCCTCCCCAGGCTCCCTGATGGTTCAGTTTGATGACGCCTGGCTGCGCTACCTGGACCAGTTCGTGGCGTGGAAGGGCGCGGATGCGGCCTCTTTGGAGGTGGGGCCGGGGTGGGGCCAGTGGAGCTGGGGGGGGTGCTCGGTGCGGCCTTGACTTTACCCGTCAGCGCTGCATTGTATTGCTTCCTAAAACATCATCCATACCTGACCTCCTTCCACATGTCCCCCCCGGGCCCCCTCCCCCTCGCCCCTCCGGGCGCCCAGTCTGAGTTGGTCCGCTGTTCCGCCGCGCTGGAGAGCTCCATGCTCCGGAAGTGCCGGGGGAACCCCTTCTCGGACAGAGTGCGGAGGAGCAGCGACCTGCAGGTGGACCGGGACCGGCAGGAAGGGGCAGGGGAGGGGCGGTGCAAGGGGGGTTAGGGGTTCCAGCTGTTGTGGGGACGGGGCGGGGCGGGGCGGGGCGGGGCGGCTTGTTTTGGTGATGCGTTGTTGTATTCGCTTTTCCTTTCCCCTCCCCGCCCCTCAACCTCCCCTCAACTGCCCTCCCCACCCCCCCAACTCCCCTCAACTCCCCGCAGGCCGTCATAGCCCAGGTGGCTCACGACCAGTCGCTGCTGAGGGAACGTATCGCGAAACTTGGGGGAGAGGCGGGGCTGGGACGACTGCAGGTAGGCAGAGGGGGG